TGTGTCATCCCATCTGTATATCATGTAGTATCTCTTTTCATTTTCTTTCTTTATTTTTTTTTTTTTTTTAGCTGTGTGCATACTTTTTCAAAAGTGCTCTAATGTTAATGAAGGAAAGAATGCACTTTAATCTGTTTAAGATGTTCAAGATAATCCGAAGTACAGGACTAGTAAAAACAATTCATTAATTTTGAAAATACTATATTTTCAAAAGTATTATGCGTACACACATGAAAAATACATGAAAACAACTAGAAACTCGCCAGGTTTTTTTTAATTATTTCACCAAGTTTCCCGGATAAGTGGAATGTTGCTTCATCATTGAATATCAGCTTGGTGGCAAAATCATTGTCCTCCAATTCTTCCTGTATGTTGACACAAAAATCTAGTTGACAGGTGTAATCATTTGGCTTTAATTGTTGCAGGAGCCTACACATGGTACAACTTGAAATGCAACTGTTGATGCAAAATGTTTTGCACAGTGTTTTGTGGTATTTCGAACATCTGGTCAATCATGCTACAAAATGTATGGTATGGTACGAGTTTGATTATCGTCTGGACATGTGTCATGTCTCCAAAGGTGCACATACTGAATATTTGTAGAAGGGTGTATAAACATGGTGAGTTTGTGGTTTTTTTTATATATATTTCATGTGTGTACATGAAAACCTTTGGAAAATACAGCCTTTTCAAAACGAATTTATGCTAGCCCTGTATATTTCTACAAATTGAGCTTACCACAGTGTTTTGTGGTATTTCGAACATCTGGTCAATCATGCTACAAAATGTATGGTATGGTACGAGTTTGATTATCGTCTGGACATGTGTCATGTCTCCAAAGGTGCACATACTGAATATTTGTAGAAGGGTGTATAAACATGGTGAGTTTGTGGTTTTTTTTATATATATTTCATGTGTGTACATGAAAACCTTTGGAAAATACAGCCTTTTCAAAACGAATTTATGCTAGCCCTGTATATTTCTACAAATTGAGCTTCGAATATTTTCATGGATTTATAGATGATTTATTTGAATTTTATTATTTAATATTTTTTACTGACAATCATCTATTTAAATAGATGATTGTCAGTAAAAAATATTGTGAATTGATAAGACCAGAGATGTTTTGAATGGCAAAGGATTTTTTTTTAATAACTATTAAGTAAACTTGCTACTGAAAGCTAATGATTTTGCCAGGTCTTTCTATTTATTTGAAGTTCCTTTGTGAATTTTAAGCAGTTTTGGAAGAATATTCCAGAAAATATTTCAGCAACTTTTAATATAATTTATAAAGCATTTACTTTCAGTGTATTCAGTAATATTTCATTTCAAAAATATTTTTATAAAAATGTAATACTATTGCATTAATATTTTATGCTAGTTTTTAACATAGTATGTGCTGAATAGTTTAGCTTTGGCCTCTTCAGTTCTCATTTATAAAATGAAATTTTTATATTTATAAAATTTATAAATTTGCTGAATGTGTACTTTGTGCAGATAAAAATCTCAATTTGTTCCAAGTTAGTGAATTTTAAATTAGCAGCAAAATGTAGCACATTTTTTTTAAAAGCATTTTGTGGTTTTGTTTTTTGTTGCGCTGAGAGTATTTCACCCCTTTCCCTTTAACTTTAGACTTTTTCGCTTTAGAAATATATCATGTGCTAACTTTAATTATTGATGTGAATTTACTTCTGTCACTGCACATGTGTGCAGTTGCTCGAGAATCAAGGTACTACCAACTATGTGTTCCTAATTCTCACTTTGTATTGACAATGATGAGAGAATAATTTTGTTTAGGGGATTCTTGATTAGGATTTTTATTTTTACTGCATTTTGGTGCTTTGTATCCTTTTCTCCTACAGTTACAGCACCCAAAGTCTTTTGCATTCTTAAGATTTCTTTTTCATGTTGCCATGGTATTTAGTTACATTCATGTTGCTATAGTATTTCGTAACTAAATATATCCTGCAGCTGTTTTCTTATGCTTTAGATTTGTGACTTTTAGATTCTTCTAGTAACTTACCTCTCGAAACAAGTTGTTTCATTAGATTTACTTTAGTAATAGTGCAGTTTCAACCATGCTTTATATTAAATTTCACATTTTTTAATGTGCACTACCTCGAATGATTTCATGCTCAGAGCAATAATTGATAAAGCTCTGTTATCTTTTGAAACCCGTTTGTCAAGTTCAGCTTGGTTAGTTTCAGAAATTACTCTTGATTGACTGCTCGCACGGAAGTACAAGAATACTTATGAAGAGAGTACTTATAAAGAGAGGCCCTATCCGTTTTTCCCCCCATGCACTACTTTGAAGTACTGGTGATCCCTTCGTGATGACCAAAACATTGGGTCATGTACCATTAAGTTCAATGGGTTTTGACACGATCAGATGTAAATATTTTGTTATTACATCGTAAATATACATATAAATGTATATATTTTCTTTTTCTACAATATTTCAGTCCTAAGTATATGAAAAGAATATATTTTTAAACATTTCATTCTGAACGGAATTAAATGTTATACTTTTCAGAGAACAGTTTGCTCAAAACGGTTTAATTTGAATGAAATATTTTCACACGTTTTTGTTAATTACATTAGGAAAAAATTTTAAGGTAATTCAAATTTTATTCGGTTTATGGTTACAAAAATTAAGGTAAACATTTATTGTATTATTAATATTAAAATTATGCATTATTTCTTTTCTATTTATAGAGCTTCTTCCTAAAATACTTTCTCAAATATGACATAATGTTTTAGCTTCTGACGCATCTTTTAAATCGAAAAATCTAAGTCAATTTATAATTAATGCTCTATTCGGTCCATTTCAAATTAGAGTACCTTTTATTTTAATAGTGAAATACGTTAAATAGTGCTTACTTTCTCTGAATGTTTCTGAAAGGGAATAAAAAAAGGATTTTTTTTTAAATATTATTTAAAACTTGTAACTGAGTTATCATAAAATGTAAGGGAATAATTCTTTTAATTATACTTATAAGTTTTTTTTACCCTTAACTTCAACAATACATATTCTAAAACTCTTTTTTATTACTCTCTTAAGTACGCATTTCATAGAATGTGCTTTACAATACCTTTTAACAGATTGCTTTCCAGTACAAACAATTCTTGCTTAAATAGTTTTATAACGTATTTGTCAGCAAATTATCAGTTTGTGTTTACAATTCAATGTTAATGTTATTATATATTTAGATAATATTTATAATCATTATAAGTTTAGATACATTTAATAATTAGATTTCTTCACAGTAACTTTCACAGGCATTTATGAATGAATAAATCCTTCATTTCAGATACCTTTATAATTTAATTTCCGAGGAAAAGAAAAGACTTGCGTGGAAAACATTTAACAATCTGGAATCAATAAGAGGATGTTCATGATCGGACCTCCTTTGACAGGATACACAAATGTTTTCACCTCTGTCGATTATTTTCAAATTCTTAAAGCTTTCGTGATGATGTGGCATGTTCTCATGGTTACATCATCTTAACTGCACATGGTACTTCTGCCGAATTCACAAAGGTATCCGTCTTCTGTTCCACACACTTATGTAAAACTGTACATAATTTTACCCAAATGTGTGGTTACAAATCGAGGAAAAGTTAACTTATTGGTATACCTGTTGTGCATGTTTATTAATTTTGACGAAGATTGCAGCATTTGGTGTTAATTTTATTTTTTAATTAACCCAATAAGTAAAACCCAAAGTGATTATTTTTCAATTATATGCAAATAAAATTATGAGTTTAAAATGAGCAACTATAAAGCCTCCCCTCTAAAAAAATTTTTAAAGTACATGGTTCAATATGTAGATGACAAAAAAAAAAAAAAAAAAAAAAAAAAAATTATTGAAAGCATTTCGGCATTTGGAACATAAAATAAAAGTAGCGAATACTCTATCAAGGATATCGAAAGACGTATACAATTTTAAAGGTACCATAAGGTATCTTTCATTTTTTAAGCATAACATTTTTCCTAAAATATATATTTTTGTAGTTCAACACCTTAGAATTTTATAAAACAAATTCATAATCAAAATTGTTGTGGTTAGTTATCCAAAAATAATGAAGGTAATATATTAAAGTTATATTACCATCAATAATAAAAGATGTTATTTTTGTGTAAATGTCACTAAACTATACAAATTGCTATTATCCATTATGCAAAGAATATTTCTTTTATGCGGAAGTGTCCCATTTTTCGATTTGTATGGAACTGTGGTGTGTCAGATAGTACTATCAAAGCGCTGTCAAGGGAGCTTCTGAATGTAAACAAAAAACATCCTCAGAGCAGTGCTTCAATCTTAGGGCAGGTTTGGCCCCTCCTTCCTTTCTTACCTCCATGACTGCTCGCTCGTGATTTCTCAGGGTTCTGACTGTATTAAAATAATATTTACTTGAAAATATCATATCTCAAAGTTGGTGTTTTCCAATTTCTCACACTGAATATTCAGGTTCATCAATTTCAATAGTTACATACAATTTCAGCAAAGCCAAGGAAAAAATTGTATTTTTGCTTACCTTATTTTTCATACTTGAATAGATGTATCTGATTTGTAAAATTGATTAGGTTATTAATGTGTCTGATGCTGAGCATTTGTAATTTTATCCTCTAGAAAGGGAATTTAAGCATTATTACTTTCATTTCTATTTGTGCTGTAAGACTAAAACAGTGATATGCGTATTCAAAGCCTAAGTTGCAGTTGCTGCGATCCTATAATAATTACAGCATTGTATGCCATCACTTGCATTTTAAAAGTGTAATCACAATTCACTGAACATTGTGTGTATGGTTATTACAGTTAATTCTTAAAAAATATGCTTTATTTGCTTTTAGTATTATGAAATCCTAGCATTACATCTTATTGCAGTATATTAAGTTTAAGCCGATGTCAGACTGATAATTGAGTGATGGAGGATACTAAAATGATTTTGTACATGAACTATTGAAATATCTTATGATTTTAATTTTAAAATTTCAGGTATCAAGTTATTAGCACTCCAACAGATATATTTATGATTATGGAATATGTATCAGGAGGAGAATTATTTGATTATATTGTCAAACATGGAAAGGTATGTTCTATTATGAAAGACTAGTTGTTATTTAAGAGATAGTGAAGTGCTTTTGTGCAGCTTACCAATCTTTGTTAAATAACTCATTTTCCATACAAATATGTTTAACTAAAGAAATTTATCAAATGATTTTACATAAGTATTAGGCATTCTAGAATTAATTTACCAGTACTGCAAATTAATTGAGTGAAATATTTTATTGTTTTGAATTTTCTTTGTAGTGCTCTTTCACATTTCAGTTATTTATGGTAAGAGATTTACAGCTATGTCTAAATGCAGCTTGCTGTGATCAGCTTTTGCTATAGTTTTAAAACTAATCTTTTCCTGATTATTAAAAAAGAAAAAATTGAAGAACATCTTGAAAAATTAATTTGATAGGTTATTCTAATATTTTTCCATCTAATAATATATTTTTAATAATATGTTTTAATAAGATAAATTATTTGTGAAATTTGTTTTCTAATTGAGTTTACTATAAGAGTACTGATTTATATCTAGCTGTATTCTCTAGTCACACAGAGTAGATATGTGAATTGCATCCGATTTCTGTGGTATTTATGAACACAATATGCTTGCATACCACCCTATAATTAATATGGAATATGTCATATGGCCTTGTAAGTTTATTAACCTGCGGAAGTATCTTGTAAATTTGTGTGCAGAAGCTCACAAATTTTTAGTGTTAAGTGGACAAGTTTTTGTTGCAAAATTCATTTTGCAATGATGTCTGCTAATATTTAATTTTTTCAGAAATCCCAAAATTTATCATATACTTAAATGTTTGATAATGTTTAAAATCGTGTTTTCTGTATGTGTTTTTTATTGCTTCCTTGTAAGAAGTAAAGAAAATATTGTAATCACGAATGATTGATATGAACTAGCCAAGATGTTTAGGAAAGTTTCAAATTAAAATGACAGATAAATATTTTGCTGAGTGCTGTTGTTGGAAAGTGTTGTTACAAAACATTTATGTTTTATGTTTTGTAGCTTTAAATGTGTAATTATCCTAATATCATTTAAAAGTCAATGTCATAAATTACATGTATTTTAAACTAAAATTTTATTAGATTTTGATTTTAATAGGGCTTTTTTAACAAAATATTATTAAAAAAATGAAATTTAATAGTGGCCATGTAAATTTATAGTGACTAAGGTTATATAACTACCTAATTTAATTATTTATAACTAACTGCTTACCCTTAAAAATTATCTCTACATATGAAAGCGAGTTATTGCCTTTCATTAATGCTTACTGTGGTCACAAGATAAAATACAAAAATGTAAAAATTCAAGTAAAACTTATTCTTTGCATCTAGTGAGACTTAAAATAATACAAAATAGCTACCTCTGGTGCTTTAATGGCTTATTGAAACCTTAAAGTATATTAACTGGGTTACAACCCCTGGAACTACGACACTAACTGCATTAATTAGAGCCTGATTAACTTTCAACTCTTGTCAACCGTGCCTACATCAGGCCTTTCATATTTGTTCTAATCAGCAGGTCTCTCTTTAAACAAGCAGCAGTGACAACATTCAGTCTTTCATTATGAATCAGTTATCTGATTATGATCTTACTTCTTTTTTTAACCTATGCTGTTTGACATAAAATCTATTTTTTATTTACTAAACCTCTAGACTTACCAAGTATGTGACAAAATGAGACATAAAAAAAACTAACATAAAGCTAACTCTTAGTAAACCGTAAATGTCACTTATCTTCTTTCAAATATGTTCAACTATTATAAGTGTAAAATGTTTAATGCTACTTGATAAATTGCATAAAGTTTATTTTATTCTCAAACTTATTAATAAATAATTATGTTAATTAATTCATGTTTAGTAATAATGCATACTACTTAGGGATCTATTTTATTTTTAGGATGGTATTACAAAAGTGAAATTCAGGCATAGATAATATTTTTAATTCAATTTATTCAGTTCTCATTTGCTCATAGGTCCTTAATTTTTTGTTCATTAATGGTCCTTAAAAGTACTTAATTTCCGTGTACAGAAATGCATAGGAAGCCTGTTACACAAATTAAAAAATTTGTGACTTTGTAACATAAAGGAGTTTTAAGGAATCTTAGGTGAAATGGCAAAAACAGTCAAAATGACTGCTCTGGCGCGTCTAGTGTTAAGACTTAGTAAATTTTCAATTGAAAGTTGCAGAAATTAAGGAAAAAAGCTAGAAAAATAATAAAAAATAAATAAATAAATAAATCTGAGATATTCAAAAAGTTTGTTATATAATATTGTGACAGTTTCCTGTAATTTATTTCTGACTACTTTTCATTTTTTATGTTCTTACTGTAACAGCATCCTTTGGAAATTCTATTCACATAATATCCTCCCGTTCGACTTCCAGACACTAAAATTAATAAACACAAATCTGATCCGGACACCACATGACTTTCTTGTACGGAATATTAAATTATACACATTTTTTTGCTGCATTTCATTAAAATGTATTTCCTCAAAATGTATTACAGATATATTTCTCATTCAATTAACTTAGTTCTCACTTCGTGGCAAGGCAAAAATACATAAAAACTCAAAATAGCTTTATCAAAAATTTTTAAATATTTAAAAATATAAAACAACAAATACACTTAAAACAATTGAAAAAAATTACAATTAAAATTTGAGTTTCTACATAAAAACAAGCAATTCGGCCAGCGTGCAGGAAGGCATATTTTTCGGTGCACAAAACTGAAAGTTTACTTTTGGTCCCACTTGGCAAAAAGACAGTGAAGTTGCAGAAACTGATTTAATTCACTATTCTGCTAAGTTTCAAATGTAAATAGATTTGGCAGCTACGGTAAAAAAAATAGGCTTACCTGCACTTAAACAACTTTTAAATTGTTGATAATTTTACCACTATTGCATGCAGATAAACTAAAAGTATAAAACTTTGACCGGAAGATAAGAATAACATAATTTGTTCGTCATTAAAGCAAAAAATGCACAATTTACTAACATATAAGAATAAAAAAAAACTGAGCTCATGGAACTGAGTAACAGATGGGGTGTATATAAATATATCAGAAAAGACATAAAGTAAGAAAGTTAGAACTAAGTTTTCACAAACAACCAAAAACTGAATTCATAATTAATAAATTTCAAATAATCCTATAATGCTACAAAGAATTTGCAAAATGTTTAGAACCAAAACTTTTCAAACAAGTAAAGTTTTATAACGTTTTAAATTCTTTGGATTATATACTCTATGTTTAAAGGTAAAAATTTTGATTTAAATTTTTCAATCACAATTATTTATACATTTTATAATATTCTATAGCTGTATAAAATAACATTAATTGTATAGGAATTGGACAGGATTAAAAACTTCGTAAGCCAGATCTGCTTGTAGCAAGGTTTTGCTGTATATATTCAGGCATCAATTCCATGATTATATTCCTTGTTCCCCTATCTAAAAATATCAGAATATATATGCGAGTGGTCTTTTAAGATTCTTAAGGAAGAAAAATTCAGCTTTTATAATTAAAACATTTATTTAAGATTATATAACAATGGCTGTTTGAGACATTACAGGGTAGAGTAGAGGCAAAAGTAGATGCAATCATAACTGATGTCTGCATGCACATTGAGAGTCTATAACATCTAACACCTTCTCACGGCACAAATATTGTCACTAATTAATTAAAATGTGAGCGAGACTTGAATTATTGAAGACTGCCTATGCACAGCCTGCTATCTTGCTCCTTCACAAGCGTTCTATCTCTGTGAAATTGTCAAAGAAAAGATTGAAAGAAAGGTGAAATGATATGCATAATGCTCTCTCTCCTCGGTGGTAAGTGACTGTGTTCCCAGTGGGTGTGATCTCAGAAGGTGATGATAACACTATCTTAAGTTATGAAAAAAGTCAACCCACAAGTTCGGTCATCCTGCTGTGGTTCTCCAAATTCTACTCTCTATGTAGTGGAGGTCCCCTAGAAGTTGATGTTAAACGTGAACTTTTTTTTTTTTTTAACTTCTTTTTTCATCAGTTTTTTTAACATAATTCTTTCTTATCAGAACAAGATACCTTCAATTTAGCATTCTTTTCTCTTTGAATATTGGCAAAGCTTTGTTTTCTTATGATACAGATGGGGTGTATATAAATATATCAGAAAAAGACATAAAGTAAGAAAGTTAGAACTAAGTTTTCACAAACACCAAAAAACTGAAATTCATAATTAATAATTTCAAATAATCCTATAAAATGCTACAAAGAATTTGCCAAAATGTTAGAACCAAAACTTTTCAACACAAGTAAAGTTTTATAACGTTTTAAATTCTTTGGATTATATACTCTATGTTTAAAGGTAAAAATTTTGATTTAAATTTTTCAATTCACAATATTATTTATACATTTTATAATATTCTATAGCTGTATAAAATAACATTAATTGTATAGGAAATTGGACAGGATTAAAAACTTCGTAAGCCAGATCTGCTGTAGCAAGGTTTTGCTGTATATATTCAGGCATCAATTCCATGATTATATTCCTTGTTCCCCTATCTAAAATATCAGAATATATATGCGAGTGTCTTTTAAGATTCTTAAGGAAGAAATTCAGCTTTTATAATTAAACATTTATTTAAGATTATATAACAATGGCTGTTTGAGACATTACAGGGTAGAGGCAAAAGTAGATGCAATCATAACTGATGTCTGCATGCACATTGAGAGTCTATAACATCTAACACCTTCTCACGGCACAAATATTGTCACTAATTAATTAAAATGTGAGCGAGACTTGAATTATTGAAGACTGCCTATGCACAGCCTGCTATCTTGCTCCTTCACAAGCGTTCTATCTCTGTGAAATTGTCAAAGAAAAGATTGAAAGAAAGGTGAAATGATATGCATAATGCTCTCTCTCCTCGGTGGTAAGTGACTGTGTTCCCAGTGGGTGTGATCTCAGAAGGTGATGATAACACTATCTTAAGTTATGAAAAAAGTCAACCCACAAGTTCGGTCATCCTGCTGTGGTTCTCCAAATTCTACTCTCTATGTAGTGGAGGTCCCCTAGAAGTTGATGTTAAACGTGAACTTTTTTTTTTTTTTTAACTTCTTTTTTCATCAGTTTTTTTAACATAATTCTTTCTTATCAGAACAAGATACCTTCAATTTAGCATTCTTTTCTCTTTGAATATTGGCAAGCTTTGTTTCTTATGATACAGATGGGGTGTATATAAATATATCAGAAAAGACATAAAGTAAGAAAGTTAGAACTAAGTTTTCACAAACACCAAAAAACTGAAATTCATAATTAATAAATTTCAAATAATCCTATAAATGCTACAAAGAATTTGCAAAATGTTAGAACCAAAACTTTTCAAACAAGTAAAGTTTTATAACGTTTTAAATTCTTTGGATTATATACTCTATGTTTAAAGGTAAAAATTTTGATTTAAATTTTTCAATTCACAATATTATTTATACATTTTATAATATTCTATAGCTGTATAAAATAACATTAATTGTATAGGAAATTGGACAGGATTAAAAACTTCGTAAGCCAGATCTGCTTTGTGTAGCAAGGTTTTGCTGTATATATTCAGGCATCAATTCCATGATTATATTCCTTGTTCCCCTATCTAAAATATCAGAATATATATGCGAGTGTCTTTTAAGATTCTTAAGGAAGAAATTCAGCTTTTATAATTAAACATTTATTTAAGATTATATAACAATGGCTGTTTGAGACATTACAGGGTAGAGGCAAAAGTAGATGCAATCATAACTGATGTCTGCATGCACATTGAGAGTCTATAACATCTAACACCTTCTCACGGCACAAATATTGTCACTAATTAATTAAAATGTGAGCGAGACTTGAATTATTGAAGACTGCCTATGCACAGCCTGCTATCTTGCTCCTTCACAAGCGTTCTATCTCTGTGAAATTGTCAAAGAAAAGATTGAAAGAAAGGTGAAATGATATGCATAATGCTCTCTCTCCTCGGTGGGTGGTAAGTGACTGTGTTCCCAGTGGGTGTGATCTCAGAAGGTGATGATAACACTATCTAAGTTATGAAAAAAGTCAACCCACAAGTTCGGTCATCCTGCTGTGGTTCTCCAAATTCTACTCTCTATGTTAGTGGAGGTCCCCTAGAAGTTGATGTTAAACGTGAACTTTTTTTTTTTTTTTTAACTTCTTTTTTCATCAGTTTTTTTAACATAATTCTTTCTTATCAGAACAAGATACCTTCAATTTAGCATTCTTTTCTCTTTGAATATTGGCAAGCTTGTTTCTTATGATACAGATGGGGTGTATATAAATATATCAGAAAAGACATAAAGTAAGAAAGTTAGAACTAAGTTTTCACAAACACCAAAAAACTGAAATTCATAATTAATAAATTTCAAATAATCCTATAAATGCTACAAAGAATTTGCAAAATGTTAGAACCAAAACTTTTCAAACAAGTAAAGTTTTATAACGTTTTAAATTCTTTGGATTATATACTCTATGTTTAAAGGTAAAAATTTTGATTTAAAATTTTTCAATTCACAATATATTTATACATTTATAATATTTCTATAGCTGTATAAAATAACATTAATTGTATAGGAAATTGGACAGGATTAAAAACTTCGTAAGCCAGATCTGCTGTAGCAAGGTTTTGCTGTATATATTCAGGCATCAATTCCATGATTATATTCCTTGTTCCCCTATCTAAAATATCAGAATATATATGCGAGTGTCTTTTAAGATTCTTAAGGAAGAAATTCAGCTTTTATAATTAAACATTTATTTAAGATTATATAACAATGGCTGTTTGAGACATTACAGGGTAGAGGCAAAAGTAGATGCCAATCATAACTGATGTCTGCATGCACATTGAGAGTCTATAACATCTAACACCTTCTCACGGCACAAAATATTGTCACTAATTAATTAAAATGTGAGCGAGACTTGAATTATTGAAGACTGCCTATGCACAGCCTGCTATCTTGCTCCTTCACAAGCGTTCTATCTCTGTGAAATTGTCAAAGAAAAGATTGAAAGAAAGGTGAAATGATATGCATAATGCTCTCTCTCCTCGGTGTAAGTAAGTGACTGTGTTCCCAGTGGGTGTGATCTCAGAAGGTGATGATAACACTATCTTAAGTTATGAAAAAAGTCAACCCACAAGTTCGGTCATCCTGCTGTGGTTCTCCAAATTCTACTCTCTATGTAGTGGAGGTCCCCTAGAAGTTGATGTTAAACGTGAACTTTTTTTTTTTTTTTAACTTCTTTTTTCATCAGTTTTTTTAACATAATTCTTTCTTATCAGAACAAGATACCTTCAATTTAGCATTCTTTTCTCTTTGAATATTGGCAAGCTTTGTTTCTTATGATGAAGCAATTTCATCTCCATTTGACTCATATTCTGACATGTATTGTTCTTTCACCTTGTAGAGTCATTAGGTTAATTGGAATCACTTGTAGAGGTTAATTGGAAGCAGAAAAGATGAAAAATATGCAATCGCCTTCGCCAGGAATCGAACCGCGGACCTCTGGAATACCGGCCCAGCGTGCTACCATTACACCACGAAGGCACGCAAGGGAAGTGGGAGAAATACCTTATAACTGTTCTTAATGTAACTGCTAATTTTTGCGCATAATTTTCTACAATACTCATAAAAATATTGGATATTTCAGTTCTCTTAATTATTCTTGATTCTGAAAGTTCCTCATCATGAAGGCTTGTTCTAAAATTAAGTTCTTCCTTCAGAATCTGTAACTCCCATTCTAATTCAGGAATCCTCAGTATATTCATATCAAACTCTGTTTTATTTCATCTTCTAATATCATCTGCAAATTTTCACTTTTCTGACATAAACTGATTAATTTTAAATTGCAAATTTAGCTTATATCACTTTATAGAATTCAATCTTTTCTTTGTAGCAGCTGATTCTTCTCCTTTCTTAACTAATTTAGTTGATAATGCATCATAAATATTCCTTAAGCTATTTAATTCAATGTACTGGGTACCAGGGATATTTTTCTGCAGCTTGTCATGGTTTCTGCTAAGCACTCATAGTCTTTTTAAAAACCCACAGTAAATCTCAGTAATATACAGGTAATCCTACTTTCCTTTCAAGAGATTTTAATCTTTAATGATGATATAATGTATTATACACTGGTTGACAACTGCTAAGGATTGATAACAGTAGCAGCAATACTAGCCACAAAATAAAAGGCAGGGAAATGTAGAAATTAGCATTAAGTGTGGGATACAGAAAGACATGTGTGTATGCAAATTTTTGTTTGCTGAAGTTGTTTGTCATGTGATAAGAGATGTAAAGGATTTGATACATATTGAGCATTGTTGTTCAGAAGCAAAATTTAATAGAAAAGAATCAATTGGTGAACATGCAATTTTCGGTATGTTTTCCTGACATCACTTAGATGATTTTATGCATGGCTTTTTTATTAGCAAGATTGAAGGAGGGTGAAAAATAACAGATGTTGCTAGGGAGTTCGACATCAGCCACTATGTTTTTTCAAGGCTGTGGAAATCATTTCATACAAATGGAATGCATAGCAAATGTCACAGGGGATCGTAGTACGACACCTGCAGAAGACACATAATGCTATTGACAAAAAGGAACTGGTGCAACATAGGTGCTGAGGTAGCAAATCAATTACCTGCTGCTACTGGTAATCGTATAGTTTTTTTCTCCCTTGAAAAGAGAATCTTTACTATATCATTGCATTTTATTTTGATCAAATTGTCTTTAAAAATTGTCAAAATTTTAAATTTATTTACATTATTACATTATAAATTATTACATTACATTTATTGTATTTACATTTACATTTATTACATTATTACATTATAAATTCTGAGGCAGAAATTAATATTTCAAAAATTTAAAAAGAAATTTATATTTAATTTCCTTTAGGAAAGAATCTTTAAAAAAAATAAGTATCATGTATTTCTGAATATGAGTTAATCCATGTAAAAGCGGAGAGAATATTTTTTCATTTAAAAATTTATCCAAAATTCAAAACTCTCATATAAGCTAAAATGAAAAAAAAAAAAAAATCCTATAGCATTCAAGCACATCACCATGAGGGTGAAAATGTTGCCATGTAGGTAAAAGAGATAGAATATTTTCTGATGAAATCACTGTAAAATAAAATGACAGACCCCAACGATTATAGTTTTAATACCGATAACCTTGTCTAAAGCTAGGGCATTTATTCCATTCTTTGTTGTCTTGTGTACCATATGTGGTATTTGTGCTAGAAGAGCTCAAATGGAAGAGAAGATCTTTCTTATTTTTAGATAAATATGGTAATCTTAAAAATTAAATTTAAATTAATATATTTATCAGTATGCAATTTCTTTACAGTTAAAAGAAGCAGAAGCAAGACGTTTTTTTCAGCAGATCATATCTGGTGTTGATTATTGCCATCGACACATGGTTGTCCATCGAGATTTGAAACCAGAAAATCTTTTGCTGGATCAAAATTTGAATGTAAAAATAGCTGATTTTGGTAAATATCTTCTTAATAGAAGTAAAGATTTAAATTATGAGAATGGTGTATAAATATTATTTGTTTTCAAAAAAATTATAAAGTTTTTTATTATCTGGCTATATGTTTTCATATTAAACACTAGAAAGACTGAAACTTAGTATATACCTATATTGCCCAAAAAGCAGTCAAAATGTGTCATTGTGAAAAAGCAGTCATTGTGAAAGAATAACTAACGTGTAAAGAAATTCGTTTAAAATTAATTTTTAATATTTTTATATTATTTACAGTTATATAACAAGTTATTAGTAAATATTAACAATAAAAAAAAATACTTCACTTGAAAAAAAAATAATTTATGCATTATTATTTGTACATTTTTTGGAAATGAAAGTGGCAATCTTTTTATGTTTTTCCACAAACATACTTTTGACATTCTTCAGATATATTATTTATTTAGTTGTTGTGCCAAACTCGTACTTGACAAAGTTTGCATTTGTTAGAATGGGTTGCATTTGATCTTTGTGGGTCTTCATGTTCTGATGACTTTTTCAGTCTTGCAGCTCTGTATTTGGTGGTATTTTCTGAAACAAGAACTCTTTTCATTGTATTTGTATTCCTGTCATTTCTTTGTAAAGGATCCAAGCATTCATAGAAGCCAAACCTAAAATATTGAAAAATATTTGGAGGAGCCATCTACGAGAACTAGGCTTTTACTGTATATTTTCTGGCCTATTAACTCCAAATTTTGTGCTGTTATAAAATTGAATTGATCCCGGTAACATTTTTTTATTACTTTTATCAATTTTCACAAATTTATGCTTAGAACAGCTACTCTTTTATTTGTTTTTTATATATTGTAAGAACACAATTCTCTGATTTATATAGCAGAGTGGAAAAACGAGGCATGTTATCCTTCATTTGTTTGGCTGATTTGGGTAGTTCTCTTTTGTTTCCTCTAATAGTACCAACTAGAGTTTTTTTTTTTTGCCTGTAATTTTGTCGTCAGTGACATGCTAGTGGAAAAGTTATCGGTCGAGTTATTTCTTCCACAGCTTGTATATGGCTCGACAAACGTCAGAATAACGTGTTTGCTGAGATTTGAAAATTAAGTGCTACTTTAGCTTATTGAGAAACTGCAACTTATCAAGTATATGCCCAAATCGACAATTTGTCATGTACTTGTATGCTATCATGTGAGGGTAACCAAAAAAAAAATGAAAACTGTTATTTCAATACATAGCCGAACTGGTCATATAAGAAATTTACTCAATTCAATAATAAGAGTCATTTGATTATTTAAAATTGGCAATATAGGTATAACACATATTATATATATATATATACAGAGGGAAGACAAAATAATGTGAACACCTGCGAAAAAGTATGATGTATTTCACATTTGCAGTACAGCTGCGCCACCTGCAACAGAAATCTGCCACCTAATGAGCGTGAAGAGGAAGGTATCAGTCTCTCAACAACAGTCACCTGCATTGCATGCTTTGATCGAACTGTCTGTGAGAAGTTGAAATGTCAGAGTTCCAAAGAGGAATGATACTTGGAGTGTGTTTAAGTGAAGCATTGGTTACAGAAAAAGCAATGGTATCAGCCGTTATGACAGCGTACACGAAAGAGGATAAGACGACGTCTTCAAAGCACAACATTGGCCGAAAGTCAAAGCTGGCTGATAGGAATAGATGGATCCTGTAGCACATAGTAGCCCGAAAGCACAAGCAATCGTTATCCGAGATAACATCTGAAATGAACAGTCATCTCCAGGACCCCATTTCAACAAAAACTGTCAAAAGGGAACTTCATGCTGTGAACATTTATGGCAGAGTGGCAATGCGTAAACTCTTAGTGACAGCAACTAATGCTTTCAAGCAGTGCCAGTGTTTCAGAAATCACAAAGGCTGGCCCCCACAGCAGTGGCAACAGGTAATATGGTCAGATGAATCGTCATTTTCCCCATTTCAGATGACCGGATGTGTTTATGTCTGGAGAACATCCAAAGAAGCGTTTCATCCTGACTGCCTGTTGCCGACTGTGAAGCATGGGGGTGGTGCCATTATGGTATGGGATGCAATATCTTGGCGCAGACTTGGGCCACTTGTTATTCTGCATGGAAGGATCACATCCAATCACTATCTAAGCATTCGAGGGGATCATGTCCATCCTTTTGTCCAGACTGTATTCCCTGTAGAGTGACCGCTTTTTCAAGACGACAGTGCCCCTATCCACACTGCTAGGTGTATTCAAGAATGGTTCAAAGAGCATGACGATGCAATTGAACATCTCACTTGCCCCCCCTCAATCTCCAGATTTGAATATTATTGAAGATTTATGGTCATATTTGGAATCCAAACTTCGTTCCCGATTTCCACTTCCATCCAGACTTTTTGAATTAGAGACTGCTGTGCAGGAAGAATGGCTTAATATTCCTTTAAATATTGTCCATGACCTTTATGCATCTATCCCATGTCGCATTCAATCTGTACTTCAGTCAAAGGGTGATTCAACCAACTATTAATAAAGATTTTCCATTATTTCACAGATGTTCCTATTATTTTGTCCTCCACCTGTATATATATGTATCAGAAATCAAAGAAAGGCGTAACTACAATTATTATTAAACGCATTTATATGTTGTACAAAAAGTCACAGAATTTTAAGAAATTGTGTCATTATGTACATAATTGTTTTTCTAATTGAAATTAAAAAGCAGTCAAAATGACTTCCTTGGGCAATCTAGTGTTAAGAATATTAATATTAAATATTTTAATTATTGGTAATATCTTAGATCTAGCAATTTGAAAAATAAATAAATAAGCATAAAAAATTGTTTTAACATATTAAATGCTTTGCAATTTTTAGTATAAGTAGGTTTTATTCCAGTAAAAAATTATACAGGAAAACTCATTTTATTTATAGAAAAGATGAGAACTAATGAGTATACAATGATGTCTGTGAAGGAATTTCTATTTAACCTTCAAAATAGGTCCTGCAAATGTGCTCACATTTTTCTAATTCTTTGTTTTTGTTTGTTGTTCATTATTTGTTAGTTTAAGCTAACAAAGCTTGTAGTACATGTAGCTTGTTTGGTAGAAAACAGAAAAAAAGCTAGAGGATTTTCTTATAAAAAATATATAAATACCAATTCATTATGTGTGTTATAGAAGTTCATTTTTTACCACTTTTTGAGGCTCTATTATTTCTTGATAAAGTTTAATGAGCAGTGATTAGCATAGTGAAATTCATAGCTACATTGAAAGAGTACATTGAATCTGACTGTGATTGAAACCGTATTTACTACTAAAGGAACATCTGCTTGTAGTGAAAGAATATACAGTCAAAAGTCGTTAATTTGGACACCCATAATCCGGAATGATCTATAATCCGGATCTCAAAGCTAAAAACTTTCTGCGCATGCGCCGCGTTGACACATGTGCATAGGTGTTTACGCTTGCGCGTAAGACCTTTTCCCACTGCGCATATGCGTTTGCGCAAGCGCAGAATACGTTTTCGCCTGCGCATTTTATGTATAACGGACGGTATAATCTAAAATTATCTAATTATCTATTTCAGTTAATGTTGATGATTGCGTTGTTCCTTAATCTTCGAATTCGATCCGGTTTATTATTTTTTTGAACACTGTAAGAGCAATTTTATAAAACTAAACTTGAACTTTCGATTATGTCAAATAGAATTTCCGTTTCTGGAGCTCCCAAAGGATCGTACAAAACGAAAGTATGTTTCGATGTCCATCAAACAAAAAGTGAAATTGCTGCAAAAAATGGATAAAGACATGAAGAATGTGACAGAGAGGTTAGTGAAAACGAAACAATTTCGATTGACAAGTTAGTCGGTATTCTCGGCACAAATTTACGGGACTTGAACAGCGGAACTTTTAACTGAACAAGAAATTGTGTCTGTTTATAGAATTAAAGAGAAAGTATTATCACATAAAACGAAGCAACTTAAAACAACTTACATTGAAAGAAATGTTTAATAAAGTAAACAAATAAATATTAAGCTTTTTTTTTTGTAAATTTTGATACCCTTTAGATTATAATTGTTCTTTATTTCATAAATTAAGGTTTCGTATTTTTAATTTTAGAATTTCTGCATGCCATCTTGTGAGATTTAAACTGATGATCTATAATCCAGAAAAATCGATAATCCGGAATCACCGAAGTCCCGACGAGTCCAGATTAACGACTTTTGACTGTATTTTTTTTTTAAATTTGGCCTACTGCACAATTAGATGAGGAAAAAAGACGGGACTTTAAAAAACTTTAACATTTGTGTATTTTATTCAAATCACTAATATAAATGTTTGTAACAAATAGTAGTTTCATTTTCAAATTAAATTTTGTAACAGCTATCCTGCTATGATGTTAGAACTCATCCTTTTTTAAAATACTATCAATAATTTAATGTATTAAATATCATAAAAGTTAGAATAATTTCTAAATGTTCACCATGCACTGGTTCTCAAAAAATGATAAATAATGGAAAAAATATTTCCATCACAATTTATTATAAGTGAGGCTACTTTAGAAAAGTTTATGGATATCAGGATAGTATATATGTAAATTGCATTAGCATCATGATTTTTTAAAGCTCTACCCCTTATCTTATCAAATGATGTTTTACAAGTATGTATTGTTGTAACCCTCATTAAAAAATTTAAGACATATCTGTCTATTCAGTTTGTAATCTAAATAATCTATTAATTAAATGATTTAGAGCTGAATGTGATCTTTTTATGTTAGCTTTCATGCTAGTTGGATGTAAAAAAAGTTCTGAAAGGTTTCAGATTTTAAATTACGTCCAAAGGGGCGTTTTTTTAATGCTTTGTGTGTTACCTTTATTTATGAAATATCATATTCTATGTACTCAAACTATAAAATTCAGTTCAACAGCAATAGTACAAATTAATTTTAAACTGAACATATTTTTAAAATTTCCGATATAGAGTGTCGATCGCTAGAGATAAAAATGTTTTTTTTTTTTTAAGCGGGGTACAGTGTTGCCATTGCTCGCTTTGAAATCATTTAGTTTTTTTAATTAAAAATTCGTGTTACAAAATCTGAAATCGATAACAAAACAAATTTCAAATTCAAATTAGGGCTTCACATGTCCATAGTCTATGGAGGATTACTTTTTCAAATTTTGATGCTCTTGGTACTGTTGTTTTATCAGAATGCAAGAAACTTAGATACATTTATGCAGATTTCTTCATTATTTAATTTCTTTAAATATAAGACAGGGCGATAATATATGCTGGCAAGGATTTGAAAAGTGATACAGCCTTTTAAAGTTTCCAACACAAAATGCCAAAACAAAATTAATAGTCCTTCAGAGCAAGTTGTCTCTTTAAACTAAAAAATTAAAAGATTATTTTAGCAAAATCTATGGAAAGTAAGCAATTTATGTTTAGTTCGTTTTCATATCCATTCTCTAATACATCTGAAATTTCTGAAGTACCGCTTTGTGTCTCATCACATTTATTTTTCAGAATAGTATGTGTGAATGCAAAATTAAGAAAATTTTCTGGTTTTGCTTTTTAAATTACTGTAATACAGTCAAAAGTCGTTAATCCGGACTTGTCGGGACTTCAGCGATTCCGGATTATCGATTTTTCCGGATTATAGATTATCAGTTTAAATCCCGTAATATGGCATGCAGAAATTCTAAATTTAAAAATATGAAACCGTAATTTATGAAATAAAGAACAATTATGATCTAAAAGGTATCAAAATTTACAAAAAAAAAAAAGCTTAATATTTATTTGTTTACTTTATTAAACATTTCTTTCAATGTAAGTTGTTTAAGTTGCTTCATTTTATGTGATAATACTTTCTCTTTAATTCTATAAACAGACATAATTTCTTGTTCAGTTACAAAGTCTCGCTGTTCAAGTCCCGTTAATTGCTGTGCCGAGAATACCGACTAACTTGTCAATCGAAATTTTTCGTTTTCACTAACATCTCTGTCACATTCTTCATGTCTTTATCCATTTTTTTGCAGCAATTCCACTTTTTGTTTGTTGGACATCGAAACATACTTTCGTTTTTTAGATCCTTTGGAAGTTCCAGCATCGGAAATTCTATTTGACGTAATCGAAAGTTCAAGTTTACTTTTATAAAATTGCTCTTACAGTCTGCAAAAATAAGCGGGATCCAATTCGAAGATTAAGGAACAACGCAATCATTAACATTAACTAAAATAGATAATTAGATAATTTTAGCTTACACCGTCCGTTATACATTAAACGTGCAGGCAAAAACGTATTCTGCACTTGCGCACACTCATATGCGCAGTAGTCAAGGTCTTACGCGCACACGTAAAAGGCCTGTGCGCATGTGCCAACGCGGCGCATGCGCAGAAAGTTTTTAGCTTTGAGGTCCGGATTATAGATCATTCCTGGATTATGGGTGTCCGAATTAACGACTTTTTTGACTGTACTTGAATAGTATAAGGTGTTTAAAATTTTACAAAAAGCTTTGCAAGATAACCAAGTCTTGTTTCATTTATTTCTATTAAAATTAGTTCATAATTGTAGTAAAAAAAAAAAAAAAAAAAACCCTGAAATTAGAAGAGAGTAACCTCTTTTTTTTTTTTTTTTTTTTTTTTTTTGTGGAAGGAGGGCATGAAAGTGCATTGTACAAAAGTTCAAAAATTGTTTATTGTGGTATTTTATTGATTATGCAGTAAGAGCAACAATAATTATTTGTATTTGAATTTAACAAATATTCTCTCATTCAGATAAAGCTAATTAGGATTAATTTTTTGGATTATTAAATATTTTTTATTATTTTAGTTACTTGCGCTTAATTTACATATGCTTTCTGAATTTGAATGATATTGCAAATTAATTCGCAGCAATAATTAATCTTTTATTTATATACAATTGAATTTTCATAATTTAAAATTTAAATTAGGTTTATCTGAATGAGAGAATATTTGTTAAATTCAAATTTCATTTCTTGCAGCAATAGCGGAAGAGAATTATTTAATTTTATTTAACTTTATTATTAGTTTCTTATGAAATAATTATTTATATATATTCTTATGTAACTCCATTTATTGACAAATATGAAATCCTTGTTAATTTACTTAAAATGTTCCTTAAAACTGACTTAAAACACTTTTGAATGGTTAGTTTTTACTTAAGATGATTACCCATTCAAAAATTAATTTTTACTACATACAAAGTATTAAAAATATTCACATTTCTCGAATATTGTTAAATTTTAATATAAATATAATTGCTACTGATATCTCACGCTTTCTGAAATATAATTTAGGGATCAATAAACACTATTATTTCATATGATTATAGAAAGTCCTAGAATGTGCCATCTATACATACATTAGTACTACCACATACCATAATTTTATAAAAATGAAAATCTATTTACTTATGTGTTAGTTGAACAGCTTTGAAATTGTGATAAAGTGGACTTGTGTTTTCATTTTTGAAGATTTCTGTAATCTGTAACACAGATCTGAAGAATATTCTGATGTTTTTCATGGCATTGTCATTCATAAACTTTCAGTTTTATGAACATTTTCAGCCTTTATGAATTTAGGGGGGGGGACTGAGTTTCTATTGCAAACCATTTACCAGATAGTAATCTCCTTCCTTTGCTTAATTTTCTTTTTTTCTTGTTTGTTGATAGGCACGAATTGCATTATTTTTTAGTAATTGTGAAATATAGCATCTAAATTTTGTGTATTCTGTGAAATCAAATCTAAGATTTATTACACTTCTATTTGATAAATGATGTTTAGATGAGTACGAAATTCTCTTTTTGAACCTAATTTTTACAGCATTTTCATTTAAAAGAGTAATGTTATTTATATTGCATTTATTTCTTACACTTATTAAATATTCTCAAACCTTAATTAGACAATTTATTCCCATTTAAGGTTTATCTAACATGATGATGGACGGGGAATTTCTCCGTACTAGCTGTGGTTCTCCAAATTATGCTGCACCAGAAGTAATATCTGGAAAGTAAGATTATGCTAGCAGTATTTTTATGTCATTATGCTTTCTTAGTGAAATATATGTATGCATGTAAATTTTTACAAAATTATATTGAATTTGAAAAAAAATTATACAAGTTCAGTATTATTTTGCAATGTAACTCGCATAAATATTTTGTAATTTCTGTATGTATGAGAGGAGTTTGAAGGTTTTAATAATCTCAATAGGCATGCAGCAAAGCTACAGTGAGGAACTAATAGTGAGACACTTGTGCTTGAAATACAAACTCATTTTGAGATGAAATCAGTTAATCAGTTGTGCAGACATGAAAATGTTTTTACCCATATGTTTACTGTAAAATTTTGTGAAATTACTTCTTGCAGTGCTATTTTAAATTAGTTTAAGGATTGTAACAAACACAGACGTATAATAAATGAGCAACTGCTGCAGTGCAAAAGCATCAGACATGCTAATGATTTACTAATGCTTGTCTGAAGGGTAAGAATGCCTTCATTTCAATCTCTGTAAGATCTAAATCACTTTAAAATATGGGAACAAAATCATTTATACTGTGTTAATTTCTGCAGATAGTTCTTTAAGGTTTTGAGAAGTGGTTCAAGAATACTAGATGTTGAAGCTCATTTTCACTTTCCAAGCAGTTCACCTAAAAGCAGTTGGTATTGAAGTGATACAAAACCAAAGCCAAAAAAAAAAAAAAAAAAAAAAAGTGGTAACAGTGTGGTGCAGTGTCTGTGTTGGTGCCATTAATTTCAATTTCTGAATACTATAAGATTAAGCAGAAATGTTCTTGAAATGATATTTGAACTTGTGGTGTAAAAATATTGAAATGCCTGCTTGAACTTCTAATCTAATTTTCTTCCTTTTGAAGATACATTGAGAGATACATTAGAGTGTGTCTACCTGGCCTGCTGTATCCAAAAGTTGTAATATTTTTGTTCAGCTGGTTTTATAATGGACAGTAGTAAATTTTAAAACAAAAACAATTTTAAGATTTTTTAACAACTTTATTTTTTGGACCTTTTCAAATTCTGCTTCTGATGAAGCATAACGAACGAATGAACTTTGGTTATTTAAAATTACATTAGCATAGCAACAAAGGGTGCCACATAAGAAGTAGAACTGTCACCAATTTAAAGGTGCAGGAGTTGTATTATTAATATTATTCTTTTTATGGAGTGGCACAGCCCGACTTTGAATTGCTCTGGATTTTAACAAAATTGCTCAGCAAACAATCAAGTTTTACAACGAAACATTTCAAAAATTTAAAATAACACCATAATATGTGAAAAAGAAAATTTAAAATACAATATACAATATTCATTCTAATAAAAATTCTGTAGAGTACACAAAGTTTAGGTGTTATTTTTAGGTAATAAATATATATTAGAAATGCTACATTTAAAAATCCCACAAGGTGTTTTTACTAAATGTGCATTATATACAAAGCATATTTTCTTGGTATTGCATCATAAATTTTATCAACTAAGAGCAGACTGAGAGGTTATCTTCTTTTACCAGTACAAGGCTATCCCTTTCGATATTATTCTTTTCAAATTATATAGAAAGTCTATATAGTTATTAGTCAAAACATTAATTAGTTGAGGTTCAGGAATGGCACTAATGGGTCAACCAATTAAGAAATTACCAGTCTGAAAATCATTTTGGATATGACGATAATGGAACAAGTGGTAGACTAATAAGTTTACCTTCAACTTGATTAAGAATTCTTCAAGAGTTAATTTGGAATTTCCTGTGGTTCTTTTCAAATGATATTTAAATGGCTTAATTACTGCTTCTCTTAATCCACCAAAATTAGGAGATCTAGGAGGCAAAAACTTCCAAGAAATTGACCGCAATACTAAATAAACAGCTAGATTTGCAGGAGGGCTGGAAGCGAGGTCATGCAATTTTTTCAATTCTGAATTAATGCCTATGAAAGTAGTAGCATTATCTGAAAATATTCTAGAAAGAATGCCACGACAAACAAAAAATCATTTTAAAGTCGCAATTAAAGCCTCAGTTGCTAGATCAGTGAGAATTTCTATGTGTATTGCATGAATGGCGAAACAAGTAAATACTGCTACATAAATATTGTTTAAAATACATTTATTTTGATTTTTCTATTTTATGTAAAATGGTCCACAAAGGTCTATACCAATATTGTAAAAGGTGAATTTATTGTGACTCTGTCCTTAGGAAAAAATGCCATTAATTTTTCTTCTATTTTTAGGTTTTGCTTTAAAGCATTTAATGCATTGATATACAATTTTGATAGCGTTATTTTTTCCATTTACTTGCCTTACAAAATTAAGTAATGTTTGAGCCCCAATGTGTAGATTTTTAATGTGAAAATAGTACATTATAATATTAGTTTGTGATCCTGAGGAAGTAAAATGGAATGTTTCTCATCAAATGACAAATCAGAAGGAACAACTCGACTGCCAACACAAATGAGATCATCATCATCAAGAAAAATATTTAAGTTACTGACATTAACATTTTCTTTTTTTATTTAAAGCATTAAGTTCTCTGTGGGAAACATTTTATCTGTACTGCTCTAATTAAATACTTTTTGACATGCTCAAATTCATCAATAGTTATAGAACCAGACATCTTTTTCTTATTTCTGCTGTTAATGTGAATTTGTAAGAATTCATATTAGCTTATGAAAATTGTTTCTTAGAGAGAAAAATTGGTAGATAATTTTTTTAGTCAAATGTACTCTTTCGGTGGAGTTCGTTTGATTTGTACTGGAATCATCCAGGGTGTATTCATTAAGAGTAGGTGGTTCTGACCACAGGACCACCTACTCTTAATGAATATATATAAGTGTTCAGATACTTGAGTTCAGAGGCCATCGTTCATCACCCGAGTTAATTTTCTCTAGCCAAAGCTTCTGGAAGAATAGCTTTAGTCATAACAGGGCTTATAAAACCAAATTGATCATGTAGTTTAGCTGAGAAAGTTTAGCTGTAGTTGTTAAAATTTCTCATTTGATATAAACATCTACAACTATAAAAATAAATGTATCTTTTGAATTCCAAACCATACCTAGTGTTTTCATAGAAGATTCTTCATTCGGGACAAATAAATGTTCTTCAGAGATTTTTCCTTCTATTTCTAGAAGATAATCATAATTAAAATTCCATTTAGACTCATGTGTTTAGGTTTTTATTCAAAACATCAACTAAATTTCTAAGACTCTTATAAGATTCAACATGTATTTTCTCAAAATATAAAATACTCATAATATGAGAATTAACAATCAAACATTTTATTTTTGTACCATGTTGATTAGAACCTCAAATAAAGACTGAAAGCTGTCTTCTAGAGTTTCCACAAATTGTGCTTCTTTCAATGCCAAAAGCAAGTAGACCAATTTTTCAGTATCATTTAAAGAAGAGTTATTTGTAATCAAACTTTCAAATTGTTGTTTAAAATTATTCCAGTTTTCAATGTGATGGCTATATTCAATCAAATTCTGGTTAATTTAACAGAATTAGATTTCAATAATAATGTTTCTGGTTGACCTTCCAGTTCTTCAAATACACTCTTGATAAATTTTCATCATCAGTAACATTGTAAGATTCCAATTGCAATGATTCAATATGAGATAGTATGTCTGAAACCACATCCAGTTTAATTTGAAAGTGTAACTTGTCAGCATTCAAAACTGAATCTTTCAAAAAGGTTTCCAACTTTCTGATTCTAGTTTTGCTGTTTCTATGACATCAATTAAGCACTTTTAGTTTTTCTCATCAGATGACAGTATTGTAAAATTTTCCTTTCTTTTTAACTCATTTATCTGAGTTAGCCCTTTTCCTCAAGAACAATCAAAACCTACATTTTTAAAGTTCAAAACGGCAGCTTATTTAGCCGATGCTTCTCTGCCAATTAAAGGACCGTATGTTCATGTGATTTCCTAGTGCACTGTCAATTTTAAAACAAAAACAATTCAAACTTTATTTTTTTACCTTTTCAAATTCTGCTTATGAAGAATCATAACGAACAAACTTAGGTTACTTAAAATTGCATTAACATAGCAACAAAGTTTTGACCCATAGGAAGTACAAATATTACCAATTTGAAGATACATGAGTTGCATTATTACTACAGTAGAAGCCCAGAAATCCGCAGTGCTTGGAATCAGAGGTTGTGTGAATTTTAGGATTTTGCGGATTTCAGGACAGAAAAGGTAATATTCAGACTAAAAGTGAAAAATAAAGCATATTAGATACATTTAATTAAATTATTATATACATTATACAAAATTAATTATATGCATTAAAATTATTATACATATATAAACTGATTATATATATTTCATTTACATTAGGCTCCTCTATTTTTAAATCAGCATGAATTTGCTTGCCCTTTTCTCTCAGGAGTAATCCCGAAATAGGTACCCCATCACTCCACTGCTGCCGGAACCATTCGTACAAGACAGCATCGAGGTTTGCCGATTTCGCCTCATGTAAAAATTTTCGCTTTCGGATTCCGGTGTTAGAATCACTGTTGCTGTAAAATTTCAACAGCTTTTCTTTATTGTTCTGTATATCATACAGAGTCTGTGTGGCAATTCCATACGATTCTGCTATAAACAGAGCTTTAGCACCAGCCTTCGTCTTTAGCAGAATTTTCACTTTTTTCATTACCATAAATGCAACGTGTTTGTTTTTCGACGTTGCAAGCAGTAAAATCATGAGTGTGTTTCTTATCTGTCATTGTATTAAAAAGCACTGAAATTTAAAATATTCTTAGTTTATCTCCAAAATGTCCAGATAAAAAAAAATGACATCACTAAACAATCTCGTGAAATAACAAAGCTCAGAATGTACAACAATGTGAAGTGTGAACTTGAAAGAAGAGTTGAGTTAATTGTCTGCTTTTTCAACTCGATGCAGATTGGTGGGAAAAAAACTTTTATCATGATGTCAATAATGTGAGGGTGACGTCTTATCATCAAATCAGTAACATGCAAGAAATCCACATCACATTCGTCAATCACATTTGCAAAATTTAATAAAAACACTCTTTGTAATGATGATTCACTTTTAAAATCATTTTCGATATCAGGATTAGTTGTTTTCATTTTGTTCTTCCTGACTTACTTTTAGAAGTGAGAATAAATGTTTGGTGTTTGTTTAAAATAACTGAACAGATAATTTATTTACGGCTGCAACAATGATTTTCTAACCTTGGTGAATTGCTTATTTAAAGATAATCCTACTCTGCGATAGCTGATATCTGCCTCTTTTTTTTTTTTTTTTTTCGTCAAAACATGAGCTAAGTATTATTTTACCGTCCAGCAGGTGTCTTTATTTGAATGAATGAAGAATTTATGACCAGAACTTGAGCGCCTGAATCGTTAAGTGCTTTTATTTTTTTATTTTCTACGAAAAATATCAGCATATTGCAACTGTGAAAATACACTTGATTTGTTTTTGTTTGTTTCCTTTTGTTTCCTTTCGTTTGTTTACGTTCTCCTAGCATGAAAATTTCCCCCTTCCCCGCAATTGTAACATGATCTCTCTGGCGTCGACGAAATGACATGCGGTTTGCTTTTAATATAGCAACTGGGGGGTGGGGGGGGGGGGGGGGGGGGGGGGGGGGGGGGGGGGGGGGGTGGGGGGGGGGGGGGGGGGGGGGGGGGGGGGGGGGGGGGGGGGGGGGCGATTGAGCCAATCCCTAACAGGGTTTGCCACGATAGAAGAGTCATTCTTAATACTTGGGTTTTGAACACTTGGTACTTTCGATTCATTAGACTGAACTTTAGGGTTATGTATTTCAGGCAATGATTTTCCTTGGGATGAAAAATATAAATCACATTTTCCCCCTCCCCTTGCAAACACCTATGTATTCTTTTGTTTTGAAATCCAAAGTTTCATACAATTTATCTGCAACAACTAAATCAAATAACTTTTTTAAGTCCTTTTGTGTCTCCCTAACCTGACAGTAGTATTCAAATGCTGCGGTCAATCGCGATGCAAATTGAACATGCGACTTGTTTGCTGCGCGTTGAGCATGTTTAAAGGTGTTCAGAATCTCTCTAGGTGTCGGCTGAATATCAGCTAAAAAACAACTCTTTTAGTTTTTCTTAATTCGACAATTCCTTCTTCAGTTGCATACTTTAAAACATTATTTGCTTTAACCCCTAACAAATTAATTAGTATCTCAGCTTGTAAGTCTTTGGGAACTTCTTTGGTGGCAAAGCTTTTTCCAATGAAATGAAAAAAAACAAATGCAATGACTCTGGCCACTCAGGAACAGCGAGTGAGCGTTTTTTAACACTTTTCAGTAAATTTTCAACACTAGTCTGTGCGTTTCTTCTATCTCCCGATAATGATTGTGATTTTAAATTTTCTAGCTCAATTTGCTTCTAATTGTCTTTTGGGTAATTTAAGACGTTCTGATTTCTAACAGATAGTGTTCTTATTGTCTTAGGCATCTGATCCCTCGACTCGATCCTCGACGATTTGATTTGATGCCACGACGAACAAATTCAATGTTCGTTTTGAAGACATCAGAATTTTCTATAATTTTCTAATGTCAGCTTTTTTAGCATTTTCTGGAACATCTCTCCAATTCTTTCGGCAATTAATTTTAAATCATCTTGTTTGAATTATTTAAGAAACTCATTTTAAAACGAAACACAAGTATCACTATCTTAAAGAAGAAAAAGTTTTCACAGTACCTTTTTTGAAGTTCGCCGGCTTGGAGCCCCCATAGTTGTAAGAGTGACATCTTATCATCAAACAGAGATCACACTCACAATTTAAAGTATCAGGTTTTTATTCCTGGTTCATAGAAGAAAAGATAAACGGAGTATATAAATGGGATTATGTACAATAGGATTAAAAGGTTTAGGAGAGTAATCACAACACTGGTTCCAGTATGGAGATGTAAAAGTCACAGCTGACCACCTACGTGTGGTCACTTTAGATAAGTTCCAAGTCCAATCACCTGTGCGCGACCAGTAAGCATCTAGTTGTAGCTCCTTCGCGAGCGTTCTCTTAGACCGCTTCTCTCGGACTTCTCGAACCAAGTGAACATGTGTTTACCTGGAGAGTTCCTACAGAGTAGAGATAGATAGCGACATCTGGTGCTTCGTTGAGGCAGGATTCCCACAATAATTTGGTATTTCTGTTATGACTCATTATTATTCGGTAATTATCACGTCATTATCCATTAAGTATTTTTTCTTCGATATTTCGTACTCCATGTTGCAGTTTACGGAACCTATAAACTAAATATTTATATTTTGAGAGGCAACGCGGATTTCAGGAGTTGGTGGACTTCAGGTCGGCGGATTTTCAGTATTTGACTGTATTATTATTTTTTACAGAGTGGCGTTAACAGTTGTATTGTGTATTATGCTGAAATGATGTCACTATATTGTGGTATATTTTGTGAAACTCTAACACTTGTCATTTTCCACTCATTATTTTATTTCTTATGTAATTGTTTTTCACATTTCAATTAATTGCAAAGTTTTAAAGTTTATATGATCAGTGTTCGTTATAGCAACCCTCATATTCTAAAAAGAGTTATTATAATGAAAGTGGATTTGATATTTGAGGACTTTTTGCACCAGTCATTGTAATGAACTGATCATTGGGACAAATGGTTGTTATAATAAACACTGACTGCATAAACACCTTTGATGTTTGCTTCAAGTCATAAGTGAATTTTTATCTGAAAGTTAAGTGGTTGATCTGTCTTATATTTCTCTGGTAATTTTATTGACAAGATTGCCTTGAAATATTGAAATATTTCTTTCATAATATGTAGGCTATATGCAGGACCAGAGGTCGATATTTGGAGTTGTGGTGTAATTTTGTATGCCTTACTTTGTGGAACAGTAAGCTTTTTTTCCTCTAATTTAGTTTTTATATTTATTATTTGAATTTTCATGCAATGTAAATGTGTTAAATTTATTTAAGTTTTATTGTGCTAGCCTTTTATGCCTCTTGTGTTAAAATATTTTAGTTTTTGTTCTCTAAACCTCTTATAATGATAAAATTAAAAAGGATAATCTCGAGAGCATAAATAAATATTATGACTTAATGTAAGACCACAAAAAGACCAAACTTTTATAAAATCATCAGTGGTTATTATCAGGGAAAGTTCATTGCATTTCAAGAAACTATGAATGATGCATTATAAAATAGTTGCCATTTATCAAGGTGAGGGAGAGAGATCAAATCTCTATTATCTGGCATCGAATCATAGACCAGTATGCATCTATCTTGTAACTTTTACTACTAGACAAAAACAATTATCCTTATCTTCAGGGCAGATGTTTTCATTTTATTCGGCTTATAATTCCTTACTAAATGTAGTATTTCATCTCGATACTCCGTCTTTATGATTTAAATCAAATTCCTCGTCATTATAAATATCACGAATACACATAAAATAGTTTTCTGGTTGCAATTTTCTAATTTTGACTATGCGTAATGTATGCTTTACGCATGCGCGCGTTGAAAGAAATGTTTAATAAAGTAAACAAATAAATATTAAGCTTTTTTTTTTTGTAAATTTTGTAACACTTTAGATCATAATTGCTCTTTATATCATAAAATTGCGGTTTCATATTTTAAATTTTATAATTTCTGCATGACATCTTACCAGATTTAAATTGATGATCTATAATCCGGAATCGCCGATGAGTCCGGATTAAAGACTTTTGATTGTACTTCACAACTACCAGTTAAGCTTGAGCTCATGCTTAAAAATGAGCTTGGATTGCTCATATGTCTTTTTGTGTGCATGAGGGGTTGGTATAAATCATATTTATACTTTTGAATATCATTCTGTACACTGTGAAAGATTATATAATGATGTTGTCTTTCAGAAAGTAAAAGTCATACTGATCGTGTGTAAGTGTGCTTCTGATTCAGTTATTAAAATACAGAGGCTGTTCCCACATTTTTTTAGAAGATTTTCATTGTATTTACAGAAATATTTGTCCTAAAAGTTTTGTGTTTTTAACCCTCTAACTGCTCAATTTGTGACCGGAAATCACTTCAAAAATTGTGTAATTTTTTTTTTCATATTTTAAATCTATATGTATTGGAGAATTGAAAAATTAACTTTTTTCTTTCTAGAAAATACTTTTTATATAGATTTTTATCATGAGAAACTAAAGTTGCCAGAAAAACCAATTTTAGATGTTATCACCAAAAAAATTTTTTTTAAATAAACTTCAGTCGAATTACAGTTAATTTCTATTTATTGCATAATATAAAAAAGCAAAATGTGTAAAATTTAAGAAAATATAAAGCACTGAGGAAAAACTATTTTTGAAATGCTGTTTAGCATGATAGAGTTCAAAACAGGTTTCAAGGCAAAGTCCAACTTCACAGTCTTTGCACCAGATTCAATAAATCTAATTATTAATCTAATTAATGGTTTAATAAAAATAATAAAGATAATCACTGAACGTTTTCTAGCACCCATTTCTGTAAGAAAAAAGTGGCAAAAAGTGAAGTTTGAGTAATAATACCACGTGCCTTCAAATGCCGGAATTTAGTGGACAACTAACGATATCTGATGGCCAAAACATAAACTAAACATCTAATACTGTATATAATATATTTCGATGGTTAAACGGGATGCGCTCCTCAATAAAGGAAGAAAAACACATGCTCGCGGGATGAGCAGATTTTGCTACATTTGAGTTGCCCATGGAAATCATGGGATGAGCAGCCAGAGTTTTAAATGTTCTATTTGATAACCTTCATTCTTTACTATCTTTCTGCATCTTAAGGTAGAAGCTTATATTAATTTTCAAGATACAAAAGTTCTTGTTGGTATCAAAAGAGGTATTTTATCCCATTTCCAGAGCCTGACTAAGGCATGGGGCATACGGAGCAGTTGCCCTGGGACCCAAATCGAATAGAAAGTTTATTATTATAAAAATTTAAATATCTCCAAAATGTTCGCTTGTTCATTACTGAAATAGTGAAGCAGAGGGAGGCTCCGAAAAAGTTTTTGCCCCGGGCCCCAGTTGGTTAAATCGGGCCCTGCCCAGAGCTTTCCAAAGACCATGGAATGCAACATCTGGCTGCAGATTGATGCTTTTTAAAAGTCCAAAGCACAACAATCCCTGGAGAATAAATACATCAGGAGATTTAGTAGGGATGTGAGTGAAGAGTATGGCCTGGATACTCATACGTTTCTTGTTCCATTTTCCCAGGAAATTAACAGTGAATTTTGATGTGTAGTTGCTTGCTTTGTCTTGATGCAGTTCTACTGATTAATGGCACTGTGGCTAAAGAGAAGGTACTTCATATTTGAAACTTGTTTATAGAATATGTGGAGTTGATCTTAGCATTTTCTCCCCTCTCTTTATTTTTAATTTGCCATTGTATGAAAAACCAGCAACAATCTTAAATCCCTTAAAAAAACTTGCAGAATTCCTTCCAAATTAAATTACGATATTCGATCAGATTTTAACTTTGCATAACACACTTGATTCACCATCAGGTGACACTTTGATTTGGTTATCAGAATCATGTTTGATCATTTTTGGTAGGATAATGCTAATTATCCTATTATTAATAGAATCATGTTTAATCATTTTTGATATGATAATGCTAATTATCCTATTATTAATAATAGGCTTCTCTTTCTCGTATTCCTCGCAAAAATTGATTATACATATCAATTGGATATTTCATGGAATATCATTTGAGGGGGGGCAATATAAAGATAAATTTGGATGAGTGTAGTTAGTGGGCTGGATTATATAGGATCTTCTGACTTCAGTTATAAATGTTTGATCAAATCTTAATTTTATTAAATCATTATAAATTGGTATAGAGAATGAAAGAAATATTTTGTATATTTATGCCATTGAATTCTACATTAGCATAATAAATAGCAATATTGAATTAAAAAATAGGGTCCATCAAATTCAGTATAGGCTTTGGAACTAATATTTGCATTCTGTGGTATTGAAATTTTAATGTATTCAAAAATTATTTTTGTATGCCATAACAAATTTTTGTATTTCCTCATTTTTTGTCCCCCCCCTCTAATAAATTTTTTTTGATAAAAATTTTCACACATCTTAATATTTCAGTTACCCTTTGATGATGAGCATGTGCCTACATTGTTCAGGAAATAACGGTAGCCAGTACTTTTGTAATATTCCTTTCCTCTTAATATCAAAAAATTCTCCATTTTATGGATGTGCAGTGGTGTTTAATAATAAATATGTTTCTTTCCTTTATCTAGTGTATATTCCCTATCCCTGACTATCTGATAGTCAGTGGTACTCCCTTGTCTATATTTGCAAGTGATCGAATGCCCCGCAACAGCTACATAAAAGTCGATTATTTATGTTCTTTCTAAAATATCACATTAAATGTATTAATATAAATTGTATATATTATTTGTGTATGTAACAATGAAGCAGATTTGTAATTTCTGTATTTCACAAAATTCATTCTTTATATAACTCCTGTGAAATTTCATAAATTTTATATATTTTCCACTTTATATAACATTAAATTTTAAAATATTGGTTGATGCGTATTTCGTGGTCCTTAAAACCAAAAAAAGTCCTTAGAACTTGAACGATTTTTGGTCCTTAAAGTCCCCATTTAAAACACAAAGGTGGTTATGCATCATCTAAAATTCTCTGTTTTTAACGACGCATTTGATGGTACAGCATTTTGAGGATTTTTGGAGATTCATAACTCACTGCCGATTGGTAGTGTTTGAATGGTAATGAGTATATTTGCACTATTCTATATAAATTGGGATCGCGTTTTACAACAGGTGAACATAAAAGAGAAAAAAAAAAAGTAAAGAGTCAAAAGAACTTTTCTTGGGTAAAAAATTGAGAGCAACGATGAAAGGCTTTTTAAGAAGTTCAGGAAACTTTAAATTCAATTGAGTATTTTCGACAATTTTTACAAAAAGTATATGAATAGCCCCGCTTTCCCCTTCTGTTTCTCTTCTTTCCTTTTTTCCCCCCTCCCCTTCCCCTCCCGCCTTTTTTCTTTTTTTTTCTTTCCTCCTTTCTAAAATTCCATTTTGGCAACTTATAACATATTTTAAATCTGAAAAATAAAGAAAAAACAGTATAATGCATAAACACAATTTACAAACAGCTCTTAGCAACGCAAAATCACATTAATTAAAAAAAAAAGAATTTTTCAATACCCACCCCCTTCCCCTTTCTCGAATACAAAACTCCGAATGTGCATCACCCTTTCCCCTTTCTCTAAATTAATTTAATACTTTCGAGCCGCTCCTACTTTTAAAAATATATCTGATCTGGCTTTTTACAAAACAGAATGGTTATGATAAACAGGATTTTTAGACATGTAGCCAAACACCAAGTTAGAGAAGTACCAAGGCTAGAGATAGACTCCATTCAGAAGATTCCAAATATTGTGACAAAATATGAAAAATGTCTCCAACTGGTGTCAACAAAATATGTATTTCAGAACCAACAATGATTTCTATTTTGGAGAACATTCTGGAAGAACAATGAAAAAAATATTCAAACCATTTACCCATACAGAATCTTTAACACACCCTTTATTCTTTTCCTTCTTTCATACAATACCAAAAAATAACTCAAAAATTCTTCGCCTACCTACATACGAACCATTTCAAAAGAACGAAACTCAATAAACACCACTAAACCACCAAACCAATACACAAGTCGATACTAGTTTGCCCCACTGATGCAATCTTTATCAATTTGAATGCCTACCCTCTAAATTCTGCTTCCATTTGTTCAAATTCTAAAACCATTCGATTTTGTTGTTCGTGTGTCATTAATTCTAAGAAAGTCTGCCACATCAGCCTGTACTCCCTGCTATGTACTATATTTCCTATTTCTTCTAATTCATATTAATAAAGAAATAAATTAGTAGAGCCAGCCCGCTTTTTTTCTCACATCTAATCTTAGTTTTTTAGAATAACGCCAATCCTTATTAATTCTCAAAAATTATAAAATGCAGAAACTTTTGGCCTAAATCACCTATTCATACATCAAATTATTCTTTAAAGATATGTGGAGCTATATTATGTAAATACCCAAACTGTTTGATTTCAACTTACTTTAATTCTATTCTATTTCCTCAATCTAAGAGAACCAACCCACAATTAAATTGTATAATTTGAATAGTCACATATTAGTTGCTTCTTGTTTAATTACGTCACTGTGAGCTGAATTGATTTTGTTAGCATCAGAACATGCCTTTATGTTCTAAGTTCTTTTAAATAAAGAGGCTTATTTAAACCTTTGTCTGATATTGTAGTTACTTCAGAATAGCGATAATATGCTTCATCTGTCGGGTTTTTGGACTATTTAACTTTTACCAGATTAATTAAACCCTCATGGTACTTATGGAGAGGTTGACCGTTAGGAGAGAAGCACCAGAAACTAGTGAAGCATTGGTTTGATATTGAACAAAATCTAATTGTTAGAAAAGATGCTTAAAGAGAAGGAAATCTGTATAAGTTTCAAATGGCCAAATATCATAAGTGTAAATTTTAGTAATTGAGAAATTGCATAGTTTTTTTGTTCTCAACTATAACAATTATGTTAATTAATCGTGCTTATAATATGCGTACTACTTAGGATGTATTTATTTTTGGATGGTATTTCAAAAGTGAAATTCAGGCAAGATAATATCTCAATTGAATTTATTCATTTCCCTTTGCTCAAGTCCTTAATTTTTTCATTATGGTCCTTAAAAGTACTTAATTTCGTGTGCAGAATGTGTACGAACCCTGTAATAAATTGAAGGAACAAGTCGATGAAAAGAATAAATTTATTATTATCACAACAAATAAAACAAAATGCTTAATTTCCTCAGTTTCATGAATATCTCATAGAGTTATATTTTAAACTAAAAAGTCAACAGAACTTAATTCAAAATCGAGAAAACTAATCCGATTTCACTGCGGATTTGCTACAGTAAGCAACAGTTTTCTAAACAACTAAACTGAGATGTCTTCCTCCAGCTTTTTATAAGCTTTTTAAACTTCTTGTACCTTATCGGTTTTTCTGGATATTAAAAGAGTACAATTACGAGATATCTATTTATTAAATGCCTGTGTTTTTAATTTTTCCGGTGTAGCTTTCTCTTCAAATAAGTCTCGTGTTGCATTGCGCGATAATATAAAACAATTTTAATTAATTCTAATTAAATATAGCTAAATCAGTATAAAACTGCAACAATATAGTAAATATTTAATTATAATAATTTAAATATTTATTTATATAAATAATTTAATAATGGCTCCATGTGAAATTTTGAGAATTATATACGATTTGTGTTCATGAACAAACAACGTATATCTAGCATTTGACAGGATCATTATTCATAAAAAGGTATTCTTTTATATCAGGATTTGTTCTGAACAAAGTATTTACATATCCCTAATTCACCATTTTTTTCCCTTCAAAATATGCTATATGTATAGTACTAAAGTTTTTTTTTTTTCTTTTTTTCAGAGAACATGATTGGTTTAAGAAAGATCTGCCAGCATATTTATTTCCTGCAACAAATGATCAAGACACATCACTTATAAATACGAGTGCACTTATGGAAGTGTGCGAAGTAAGAACCCGTTATTTTTATTGCTGAGATATAATACTATCTTGGTAATTTTTAATGTATTATTTTAAAGTGTGTGCCAGTAAACTCCTTTTATATTGTGTTAATGTATGAAAAATAGTTTTGTCCGTAAACAGCTATATTTTATGAGATTCAATCTGTGGAATGAATACAGAATTAAGTAACTATAATCATATATTTGCTAACAGTAAATACGATGTGGGTAATTTTAACTTCAGAATTACCTATTGCTTCTCGACCATATAGAGCAGCGGTCGTCAACCTTTAGAATTTCACTGACCACTACATATATAGTTTTATATTTGGCAGACTACTAATATGAATTAAAAACAAACTCTTAAATCGGACTTTAAAAACAAATACTCAATAACAGTATTCAACTTTCCAATACATGCAATTCTAATTTTCATTTATTAATATAATTTTCAAAACAGTTGGTTTTCAGCAGCATGCCTTTATGGAAATTCAGGCTATGTCCCTGATTATGAGTAACAATTAAAATGCTATTAACATCTCACTGATACACATATTTCGTTCACTTTGAAAAATTATGTGACAAGTATAAAAATCTTACCTTTTTGTACAGAAAGCTTCACATTTCCATATCACTGAAAAGGAACTTCACGAAAAGCATGAACAAATCACCAAGCATGAACAAACCACCGGCAAACGCAAAGCAATATCAATAAACTGAAAGTATTATGCTGCCAATTTTTTATTATTGTAAACATAATAATCCATAATAGTCATCACTTACTCAGCAATGGTGCCATGGATCAGCAGTTAGACAAAACAAAAATGGAAACTTCCAGTCATGAAACTATAAACAAGAATGCAGATTGTTCTCAGAAAAATCCATCAAGTTGCCTATTGATATGGAGAAAAACTGAAAAACTGTGTTATTAATGACTACAGTACCATATGTTTGTAATTCAAAAGGAAAGGGAATTCCAGTTTGCGCTATTATTGATAACAGCAGCTTATCCATGGATGCCAACTCTCACTTTCAAATGTCACTAGATACACCTGCAAAAGTAGCTAAAAAGTTGCTAAATTCAGAAGGAATTTTGCTAACAGTAGTAGCTAAAATTGAAAAAAGAAAGTATAATCCATATTCCATATTCCATAATAGGTTTTGTTACTCATCATTTTTTAAACTGAATTTGCATAAAAATGTAAATAATGTCCCAATTTTTCTATGGACCATCAAAAAGTTTTCACGGACCACCGGTTGACTGATATAGAGCCTCTAGTGATATATATCCTCTAGGGATAATAGTGAAATTTAAAATCAACTGGATGAACTGTTAAATGAATATATCATAAAACCCTCTTATATGGTCTTGATGCTTCTTCGTGTCTTTCCTCGTGTACTAAACTCTCTCTTGCTTCGCTAATCCTTTGCTTCCAACCTACTCTCCCGACCTTTTTCTTGGAGGGTGAGGGATATGTAAGATGTAACAAAATATGATAGCTGCTTTAAAAAATAATTGGTGGTCTCAAAATTAACATTCTAGATTTGGTGCTCTCCCCCTAAATTCATCTGTTCTCCCAAATTAGAGACCTCTCTACACTGTGTAATGCTACTAATTAACCAATCATAGATTATTTGTACTTGTACATCAATACCCCTAGTTAATTATGTCATTCTTCTGCTATCTTCTTCTACCTTGCTAATATCTCTTCGCTTTGCTTCCCCGTCTAAAATGCCTGTGTCTTAATTTTAAGAATCAATGTACGTGGCAATTTGTCATATTTCATTATGATTGATTGAATCGTAGAAATGTCTGGGGTTTCATTATGATTCAATAAATATCTATCGAGATGATTTTATATGCATGGAAATTCGTCAAGTTCATGTTTTGTTATCTTCATTTGTAAGCCTTCATCTTCAGCCACGTTAACTGCAAGCTGATTCTTCTTCTATACTCCCAAAATTATTACATATACTGGGTGGCCATAATTAAACTGACAGTGCTCACAGTGTTCTGTAGCGCAATCTATTTGTGAGAATGACGCCACATTTTGTAGGAAGATTAAACAAGATGGGGGACAAAGGATTCCTCGAAAAAACAAATTAGTTCCAAAAGTCACCGCTAGGGGAATATTTGGCGCTGTGTAATATAAAATAGAATGTTAACAAATGCAAATTAATATGGAATAAAATTACATTTTATTATGCACATTTTCTGATTCAGTTTCAAGTGCACTATGCAACCTTTTAAAAAAGTGTAAAATCTACATAAACACGATAAAGTCTCGTGATCTGCAATATCATGTACGCTGAGCAGAAGAAGAAGTTCTTTATTCAAATTTCACGTTACATCCATTCGCACAGTGCCAGCTGCTTGGGTTTTAAAAGGCAATGTGTTACGTTTTGAATCAATCGGATTGAAAGTTTATGTGCTCCTTCTTTAGTCGAGCGTGCATTACTGGTCAAATTCTTTTACCTCAACCAGTGCAACACGTCAGCTGCTCTTCGTGCTTTTAGAACACACAAAAAAAAAAAAAAAAAAAAATGCGTAAAGGGTAACGGTCCTGTGTCAGTTAATGGGCTAAAAGCAATGGTTGCGACATTTGAGAAAACAGGTTCTCTGAAGGTTCAGTCAGGCAGAGGACGAAAACCTGTACCACAGGATACAATCGAAGCAGTTGCCAGAGCGATTGTCAACAGAGGACCAGACAGTATCGCTGCCACCTCTAGCGCTCGTGGAGTAGCTCGGAATATGGATATGCCTTACAGTATGGTATGGAAAATCTTACGAAAGATTATCAACTTCTGTCCGTACAAGATCAGCCGTGTACAGGAGTTACTGTCCCCCCCCCCCAAGATAAGCGATTGACTTCACCTTTCTTGCCAGAATGGAGGTGGGTGATGCTTGGCCATGGAAAATCTTATGGGGAGACGAGGCCCACTTTTACCTGAATGGAACTGTGAATACCCAGAACTGCCGAATTTGGATGACAACCAAACATGCAGTCACAGCAATTCCCTTACATTCATCAAAGGTAATTGTTTGGTGTGGGTTCACAGCGGAATTTATCGTAGGTCCATTCTTCTATGAGAACATTACCCCGACAGGACCGGAAATCTGTTCTGTTACCGGAGGAGAAATATCGCCACCATGTTGAACAGCTTTGTCATTCGGCACTTCAGCAAAGACAATACCTGGGGAAAATCATTTTCATGCAAGATGGACCCCTCCACACATTGATGTACGGGTGCAACAGATGCTACGACAGAAATTCACAACAGAAAGAGTCATTAGCCACTACTTTCCAACTGCATGGCCACCTTGGTCGCCTGATCTTACCTCATGCGACTTCTGTTTATGGGGTTACCTTAAGTCCGAGGTCTATCAAGGAGTGGTCCAGGACCTGGCTACATTGAAGGATAACATATCACGGACTGTATGGGAGATTTCTGCTGCTGTTGTGCAGAATGCAATATTTGGTACAATATTGCATTCTGTGCACAGTATGCACAACAGCAGCCACATTGAACCTCATTTAAATGCAAAATGAAAGGTAATTTCCTTATTGATTTGCATTTGTTAACACTCTATTTTCTATTACACAGCACCAAATATTCCCCTAGCGGTGCTTTTGGAACTAATTTTTTTTTAGCGGAATCCTTCGTCCCCCATCTTGTTTAATCTTCCTACAAAATGTGGCATCATTCTCGCAAATAGATTGCACTACAGAACACTGTGAGCACTATCAGTTTAATTATGGCCACCTGGTATATACTTTTAAAGTTTTTTGAAATATTCAAATTCAGATCAGCATCAAAAGTGATTTTGTTCATTTAAATCAGTTATGCATATACTGTGAATAAAATAGCCCAGTGCTCTCAAACTGTCGGTCCACGGAGCAAATTTACATGGCCCACAAATATATTTCTTATAAATTAATTAAAAAGAACTGTGATGTAAATTACTATAAAAAGAATCTGAAGATAAAGTGGAAGATTTGGGAATCTAATTTTACATTATTTTCATTTATATGTAAACAGCTTTTTTTTTTTTTTTTTTTTTTTTTTTCTCACAGTTGAAAATTAATAAGTCTTAGGCAATAAGTCTTAGTCTTAAGGAAAGAAGCAGTTTGAGTGATGAACACAATTCAAGGTAGTTTTTAGAAATTTTTCTCCAGGGTTGCAAACATTATCATTATCAAAATGATATAAAATGTTGTAATTGATAGAGTTATATTAGAAAATAAATGATGATAACTATTTAATAAATAAAGTCTAAAATTTAGTTAAATTTTTATTGTATTTAAAAAAATTCTTTAAAAAAGTTGTTGGCCTTTCGGATCACGCATTGAGCCTGCATCTACTGGAATAAGCATCAGGATATCTGATTATTGTGGGAAATACTGAAAACAATATTTCAGAAATAGAAACATGTTTGAATTTGTATGTTAATAGTGAACAGCATGAATGAGATAAGTTCTCAAAATATTAAAAGCCTAGAATAATCAAGTGATTTTAAATCAGATACTGCAATAGTACTGGTTCTTGGACTGTCATGGTGGTGTTATAAAAAAAAAAATGGTTTTTGTGTTAATAAAAAAAAATTGGTTTTTGTTGTCCTTTATATTTCTAGTTCTCACTTTTAGCCTAATAATTAGTTACTTTTGTACTAAACAAGAGAAACTGATGGAACAGTTTTAGAAAATCGCTGAATTTTAACTTCTAATATACATTTTTCAAAACTGACCACATTTATTAAAACCCTTAAGAAATCTCTAATTTGATAGCATTTTATTGAATATTATATATCACTTAAACACAGCAGTTCTTGATTCTTGTGTAACTGAATATGTAAAAGCTACCTTTTTTCAGCTATGAAGTGCAGTTAGTAATAATTGAAAATTAAACAGCATTTATATTAAAGATTAAACCTTAAAAGTAAGTAATGAAAGGATATTTGTGGACTCAAAATTGTATTCGTTTGAAAATCAGCAGTTTCCTTTTGTGGTTTTGTACTCCTTAAACATTATGCATTGAATTTTCTCTCTTTGTTTTATTTTTATTTCTTATATTTGAAAAATTTTTAGATCCAATTCGTGCAAGTATTTACAAAGTAAGTAGTTTGTAAATACTTGCATATTAGTTCTACCATTTTGGTTGTTACATCAATTTTAATTCGTGGTAGACATACTATCTTAAGCAAACCATAATAATAAATCTTTTAACTATTATTATCAAATACTCTTAATCCATGCCTTCACTAAGTGCAACAGATGTTTTTAAATATCAGTAAAATTATAATTGTTATTAGAAGTGCAGATTTCTAGAATTAGTGTATTATTGCAGTTTTTTTTTTTTTTTTTGCACATAATTACTCTTTGAAAATTCCGCAGTGCTAAAATCTATAAGCAGTTGAAGTTGCTTTTATTCATAATTCTGTTTTTAACCCTTAAATTCATGTAGTTGCCATTTGGCAATATATTCATATTTAGTCATGTAAATCAAATCAAACCACAAATTTTAGCTTACTGCATAGTGTAACCAATTGGATACAAACTATTTATGTATACAGTTTTGAAAGTGTCAGTGTAGTGTAATTGTCATTATTATGAGTTGATGTGTAAGGTATGGATATCATTTGTATTTACAAATTTTTGATTTTGTGTTTGTTGTTATTTTCATGTGTTCAAAGTTTTAAAATTGTTTGAACAAGTTTATAAGGTATGTATTATTACATAAAATTGTTATTACACATTTGCCTAGCATTTTTTTTGTTTTGTTTTTGTATAATGTAGCCATTTGGCAACAATAATATTTTTCAAAAATTGGAATAAAAACTTAGTTTAGATGTTTTTTTTTGGGGGGGGAGTAGTTTTCCTATTTTATTTGATATCAATTCTAATATGTTTTTGACTTAAATTAAAAATATAAAAATAAAAATTCATGCATTTAAGGGTTAAGCAATGAAATAGTTTGCCGAAATTGAGATTTTGTTTGAAAATGTTTTTTAGAACTTAATTAATTTTCTCCAAGTTTGACTGAATTAATGAACATATAAACATACGGTGAAAGAATTTCATCCTTTTTTATTTTATTTTTTTATTTTATTTATTTATTTATTTATTTTTTAATCATCAGTTCAAAATGTAGTCTACATGAGAATCTATTAAAAAAGAACTTGCAAGCCATGTATATAAAATTAAAATAAATACATGAAAATAAAAAATTTAATAATATCTTCTAGCTAGTCAAGAGAAATATATTTGAATAAATACAATTAAATATATTTATGTGAATAACGAGCTACCTAATTTTTAATTAAAATAATAACAAAATCTTGAGCTATGTTTCCAATTTAAAAAAAAAAAAAAAACTTCATATTCACAATAGCTAAGATAAAAAAAAATTTTTTAATTCCGAAAGCTTTCAGATTTTATATTACACCCAAAAGGGAGTTTCTTTCATTTACACATTTATACACGTTTAGAGAGCATTTGGATTAATGCCCCTTTCAGCTAAAAATATTTAAAAACAGCGTATACAGTCAAAAGTCATTAATTCGGTCACCCATAATCCGGAATGATCTATAATCCGGACCTCAAAGCTAAAATCTTTCTGCGCATGCATCGCAATTACGCATGAGCATAGGCGTTTTACTCGTGCGCCCAAGACATTTACGACTGCACAAGTGCGTCTGCGCAAGTGCAGAATACGTTTTCGCGTGCGCGTTTAATGTATAACGGACGTTATAAGCTAAAATTATCTAATTATCTATTTCAGTTAATGTTGATGATTGTGTTGTTCCTTAATCTTCGAATTGGATCCGGCTTATTATTTTTTGCAGACTGTAAGAGCAATTTTCTAAAGTAAGCTTGAACTTTCGATTATGTCAAATAGAATTTCCGATGCTGGAGCTCCCAAAGGATCTAGAAAACGAAAGTATGTTTCGATGTCCATCAAACAAAAAAACGAATTGCTACAAAAAATGGATAAAGGCATATTCTTTGTTTATCTAACCGTTTCCGAAATCTGTTTATCAATTTCACGCTGCTCTACGGGGGGGGGGGAACGTCGCGGCGATGCAATGAAACTGGAAGTTTGATCTGTCAACACTATCGTTTCATCTTCAGGACAGATGTTTTTATTTTATTCGGCTTTATAATTCCTTACTAAATGTAGTATTTCATCTCGATGTACTCCGTCTTTGATATGATTTAAATCAAATTTCCTTCGTCATTATAAATATCACGAATGCACATCAAATCAAATAGTTTTCTGGTTGCAATTTTCTAATTTCGGCTATGCGTAAGGTATGCTTTACGCATCCGCGCATTAAAAGAAATGTTTAATAAAGTAAACAAATAAATATTAGACTTCTTTTTGGTAAATTTTGATACCCTTTAGATCATAATTGCTCATTATTTTATAAATTACGGTTTCATATTTTTAATTTTATAATTTCTGCATGCCATCTTACCAGATTTAAACTGATGATCTATAATCCGGAATCGCCGAAGTCCCGACGAGTCCGGATTAAAGACTTTTGACTGTATTTAGCATTTCCGATAGACAGTCTCGCACACTGGAGATAAAAATGTTTTCTCCCGTACAGTGTTGTTATTGCTCACTTTGAAATCATTGAGTTTGTTGATCAAAAATCCATTAAAATTTTACAAAATATGAAATACGCAATACAACATATGTGAAATTCAAAATTCGAGCTTCCAGATTTCCATATTCGGGAAGAGAACTCAAAATTTGATGGCTCTGGGTACCAATGTTTTTTTTATAGTGTGAAAAATATGCATACATTCATGCAAATTCTTCATTATTTAATTTCCTTAAATATAATACAGGATCATAATATTTGGTGGGAACAATTTGAAAAAAATTATTCAACACAAAATCCCATTTTGAGACTAATAGCCCTTCTGGGCTAACAAAATTCTCTTTCTCAGAATTACTGCAAAACAAAATATTCACCTATATTTTTGTTTAGAATTTATTATAGAAAAGGAGCATCTTATGTTCAAAAGTGTCTTATTTTCAAGTAAAAAAATACTTATTGTAGAATGTGTGTGCATTCTGCGCTAATTGATTTGTGATTTTTCATTCAAGGAAGTTTTTTCAGCAATTAAAAAAGTATTAAGGTGACCAAATTACAGTTAACAACTTCATACGCCAGTCCTTCAATTTATCATATGAATGTTATTTTTATCAGAAGTTTTGATTAAGTAGCAACATAATAACTATTTCTTTTTGTGCAGTTGCACAAAATTTTTTCTCATAATTATGAAGGTCTCATTTAATTTATCTCGTATATTATAAAGTATTTACTTACTTTTGTCCAATTAATATCATTTTGCTTTTCTTAACAGAAATTCTGTGTCACAGAACGTGAAGTTCACAGTGCATTGTTGAGTGGAGATCCTCATGATCAGTTAGCAATTGCATATCATTTGATTTTAGACAACAAGCGAATTGAAGATGAGACTTCAAAATTAGAGAAAAGCAATTTCTATTGGGCATCTAGTCCACCTCCTACTTCTGGAAGTGATGTTAGTGTAAGTAATAATAGATATTTTCATTTATCACTTAATACTTTATGTACATTAGCAAACTTATCTGCATGTTTGAACAGTTTCTGTCTTAGCCAGACAGTGAACTTTTAATCTGTCCCTTTGTTTCATTTGTTCAATAAGAATTTTAATTTAGAAATAAAATTATAAAAATAAATATGGTGATGGCCACTTTATAGCAATTTTGTGAAATATCCTGCAAAGGGAAATGAGTGTACTATGTAGGGTTGCTCACTTTTATCTTGTTAAATGTAATGTCAAGGAACTTGGCAAACTAAGTGAATAATCGCTTAAGTCCAAGAACAGAAACATAAACTCAAGAAGGGTTAATTACCCTTTATTTACGTAAAATAAAGATTTGACAGTTGGCCTCTTTCTCAGAGTGTACAGCGAAGCGTCCATTTGGGCTTGAACTCAAAATGTAAGAAATAAGAACTAACTAATGACTAACTAAAGAGATTTAGCTGAAGCTATCGCAATTCTAACCTAGTTGGCCCGTAATATTAACTTAGCCAGTGGAACTATTAAAAGGCATGCGGCGGACTACACAGATATAAGTAAATCATGTGTGTGGTCTCTGCAATTCACTGCTCCCAGCCTTTACGATGTGTCACACGACATGTTTTTGACATTGCAGAGACATAACTTCATGCCTAGTGTCAGGAGATTTTAACGTTCTGCACCCCATCTGTCGTCAAATTCTCTCGATTTCAGGAGGGACGACGAACCAATGATCTGATTTTTCCTCTGATATCATTCCAGATATGACGAATCAGAGGATGTAAAATGCTACTGTGAAATTAAGGAAGCGTGGCTAATTCAGACTGAAAATTTTCGCCATTGGAGTAACATTGAGAGAACACACCTGAACTTCCCTTCTAGAGAGACCTACGATACTCTTGAGCTTTCGACTAGAGAGAACTTCGTTAGCAGACTCCTCACACTACGAGGACTATAATTCATTTTTAATACATATCTAGGCTATCTATTAATTATATATATGTGTGCGCGTGTGTGTAAAGAGTTCTAGTAATAATAAATATGTTTGAGTTTAAATTGCAGCAGGATTACGTAACTTTGCAAACTTACCCAATCATTACAAGGAGTCAGATATGTTACCTGCAACCACTCAACACAGGGTAACCTGACAGCCACTCCCACAGCAGTGACCAAAATAATCCACAGGTGCATGATACAGCCAAGTGCATTAACAGTTTAGAGAAATGTAGCCAAACGGCAAACATGTCCTATTCAGGAATCCTGTCTTTTGAGACTCAGTGGACCTTTGACTTAAATACTTTCTACTTGTCATTTGCATTTAATGCGATTTTAAAAACTCATTCTGGTAAGGAATTGTAAGCTAAAGTTAGAAGAGATAGGAAAGTGGTTTAAACTTAAAATATCTGTTATAAAATTAAAATACACCTTACAACTAAGCAAGATAATATTATTCTACTGTGCTGTGTTTCTAATCTCTGGCTTGTATCTCTGTAACTACTTTTGTAAAACATCTAAAACAAAGAGTGGGAATGTTGATACTTGTAAACAAAAATCCATCTACTCTTTAGCACCAAACATTGTGCACATTGCAATTTCTGTTCTGAAAAGATTTAAGTGGAATGTTTCAGATCATCCATTGTGTAGTCCAGATTTATGGCCAGCAGTTTTTCATGTTCCTTCAGCCAAAGAAACGCCTTACTTTTCAGTGATCCAATAATGATAATAAAGTAAAACAAGAAGTAGAGATTCAAGTTTAAATAACAAGCAGGAAATACTAGGCTAGTAAAGCTAGTCTGATGACTTAATAAATTCTAATACCTTTTTTCCCTTTAAAAAAAAATCCTTTCCAAAACTGCACACCAGTGGTCCAGCAGTAAAATTGCTGAACAGTGGTAGCTCAATACGGCTACCAGTGTTCAGGAATTTTCAGCCAGTAAACGGCTGGCTGCATGGGAGTTTTTTTGGTTTTCCTCTCATGTAACCTGTGCAAGAGCCAGTTTTGCTCATAAAACCCTCCACGAAGGCATCCCTTCTCTTTGGGGAAATAGCTCTCACATGCTTTGCCATAATTAAATAAACCAAACCAAACCTTTCCAAAACTTATTCTAACATTGACAAATTTCATTTCTTAAAATAAGTATAAAATAAGCTATTAACTTGAAATTTTCAATTTAATATAATAAAACTACTACTATGATTATCGCTTTGTGTTCTGCTAAATTAGTAATATTTTTTATAAATATGTATACTTATTTCAAAGTCTTATATGAAAGATAATGTTAAGCATCATTAAAAATAAAAATCATACCAAAATATTTTACCTCTCCTCCTTTCTGTCCTCCCGTTTAATTAAAGCCCACCAGCGGCCGAGTGCTAAAAGTCACTAAACACTGGTAGTTAGGTCCGAGGTTCGAATCCCACGAACGGGCTGGCTGCATGGACATTTTCATGGTTTTCCCATGCATAACATGTATAGGAGCCAGTTTCTCTTAGAAAGCATCCCTCCCCTTGGGCAGATAGCCCTCAAGGCTTTGCCATAATCATATAAATCAAACCAATTTAATTAAAATCATTTAAATGCAATCATTGGGTGATTTTCATTGTGTAGTGATAATGTTATCCGTACTGTAAACACTTGTAATTTCTTACTAGCAGATACATAAACTTGCCAGATTCTGCCCCCCAGGGACTGACTATATCAGCTGCTCAATCTGAATAGTTTTATACAGTCAAAAGTCGTTAATACGGACTCGTCAGGACTTCGGCGATTCCGGTTTATCAATTTTTCCGGATTATAGATCATCAGTTTAAATCTGGTAAGATGGCATGCAGAAATTATAAAATTAAAAATATGAAACCGTAATTTATGAAATAAAGAACAATTATGATCTAAAGGGTATCAAAATTTACAAAAAAAAAAAAAAAAAAAAAAAAAAAAAAAAAAGCTTAATATTTATTTGTTTACTTTATTAAACATTTCTTTCAATGTAAGTTGTTTCGTTTTATGTGATAATACTTTCTCTTTAATTCTATAAACAGACATAATTTCTTCTTCAGTTACAAAGTTCCGCTGTTCAAGTCCTATAATTGCTGCGCGGAGAATACTGACTAATTTGTCAATCAAAATTTTTTAGTTTTCAATAACCTCTGTGTCACTTTCTTCACTATCGGAAGCGAATTATAATGACAAGGAATTTGATTTAAATCATATCAAAGATGGAGTACATCAAGATGAAATACTACATTTAGTAAGGAATTATAAGCCAAATAAAATAAAAACATGTGCCCTGAAGATAAGGATAGTGCTGACAGATCAACTTCCAAATCATTCCGCGTCCCCCCACCTCCCCGCCGCAGAGCAGCGTGAAATTTATAAACAGATTTCGGAATGATTAGAGAAACGAAGGATATGCCTTTATCCATTTTTTTGCAGCAATTCCACTTTTTGTTTAATGGACTTCAAAACATACTTTCGCTTTGTAGATCCTTTACATATTAGTAAATATATATCAGAAATTCTATTTGACATAATCGAAAGCTCAAGCTTACTTTTATAAAATTGCTCTAACAGTCTGCAAAAAATAATAAGCCGGATCCAATTCGAAGATTAAGGAACATCGCAATCTGCAACATCAGGAACAACGCAATCTGCAACATTAACTGAATTAAATAATTTTCGCTTAGCTTATACCCTCCATTATACATTAAATTCGCATGCGTAAACGTATTATGCGCATGCGCACATGCATATTAGTAGCCGTAAAGGTCTTACGGTAAAGGCCGTTTGTAGCTTTGAATTCCGAATTAACGACTTTTGACTGTAGTTAAATATGGTTTTCCATTTATGTTAAAAGTAATTTTGTTTACCTGTAGTATAAAAGATTTAAATCTTTTTTAAATAAATTATATGTTTTTTATTGTGTAGATTAAGATCAGTATTGGTGGTTATACAGATTTATTTGATTTTATATAATAGTCAAGCACCTAAGTGAGATTCTGCAGTCTTTTGTTTATCTAATTATTTCTTGCTAATTCTAATTGTGTTTTCCTGGTACTTAACCTATTTGTCCACTCACATAAGTTGCCAAATTTTCAGAATGAGCTAAACTTTGGCAATCATTTACATAACGGCTGCTTAGTATTAACGAGCAATATTGACATTTTCCTAAATATTCTTTTTGTTGTAATCTAGATTAGACAAATTGTGATATTTGCTTTAACTCTCCAATTATTTCTTTTCTTTTTCATTCCCCCTCCTTGAATTCAATCCAAAAAATGTCACTTTTTGCGCGTGTGTGTGTGTTCAGTTTTTATTTGCAAGTAGGAAAATAGAATGAAGATTTGTAATATTTTTAAGAATAACTTTTTTACTGTAATTCCTTGAAAGCTGTCTTTTCTTCCTACATAAATGCCTAACATGAAGCTATATTTATGGTTATATATATATTAAAAAAAAATCAATTACTTTACAGTTATGTTCAAATACTATTTCTACAATTATATTTACTTTGTCCTATCTTTTTTTTAATAAAAGATTTCATTTAGTGGGCTGTAGCTTAAAACAAGGCAAGAAGCACAGTCCAAGTAAAAATACCAAATCTGTCCTAATTCTTTTGTTGTTGTCATTTTACTTTGGTGAATGCACACTGCACCATCTTGTAGGTCTTAGGCTTTTCTGTAGGTAAAATCTAAAAATGTCTTTCAGCTAGTCTTAGTGGAGCTCATAAACATCCTGGAAAATCTTTTTACCTTCTATTGTTGCATGCCTTTCAATCAGTTAAGCAATAATATCCTATTATAACTGTAAATTCATAGCTCTATTGCCATGTTTTTTTTTATACTAGTATCAAAGTAGGCTAGAGAACTTTCAGTACTCCCAAACTCATTTACAGACATTTCAGATTTTGATACTGAATCACAAGAAATTAACTTGCATACATTCTGAACAGTCATTATTTTATGCTAAAATTGAGTTTTAACTACGT